TGACTCTGAGCTTTAGCAGTCAGAGCCAATGATAAGTGCAACCATATTGACGATACCAGAAATTTAGTAGTCGATACCAATACCAGTGAAATTTCACAATTCTCGATACCAATTAGATACCATGCTCAAAAACAAAAACAAAACAATAAATCCCATATACTTCAGCTTATGCTCCTTTTTTTTTTTTTTTTAAATTGAAAAAACATTTGAACATTACAAAAAAACAGTGGCCCCTTTTCTAATAGATATTTTCTTATACTTAATTTACTACTTAGCTCACAAACAGTTTTAATCTGCTCACCTTGCTTGTGTCCTTGTTAATGACGTAGCCTACATAAAATGATCTAAACCAACATGGTACCAAATGACGTTGACACCAGGCGATGTGTTCAGTGCCATTTACTGTTGCTTTACCTGGTCCTCGCTGGTAAAATAATAACCGTATCTTCACAATAGAGTGTCTCTGTCTGTGTTTCTTTGCAGAGCATGTGCAACATTTTCTGTCATTAAACTGTACAGGAGAGGCCCCATCAGGTTGGGAAGAACTGATTCTCCGGTACCTACTGAACTTACGATACTGTAGAAAAACGAGTACCGTCATATTTTCAAAACAATGGCATCGACTTGGTACCAAAGTATCAGTTCTGGTGACATCCACAATACAAAATATGCAATTTCACATCATTTTGTCTGGCATTTTGAGATAATCACATTGGCTGATGCCTGCGCTGACAAGGCAGATGAACAAAAAATGACGGCAGACTCATCTACAGCATCAGTATAATCTTTTCTAAATGTTAACATGTTTCTCCCATCCTAAATTATATGATAAATATATATTATGTTATAATACATAGAATAATGACTATGACTGTATCCTGCTCTACAGAATAACCCTATGTATTTTTCCATTTCATTAATTAATAAAAATTGCATCTAAAACAACATGTCACTGGCTATGTAAAGCATGTACCGCTATTGATGTCGGCCATCGGTTGCCCTGCTCTCTAAATATCTGCATCGACCATTGAAAAACCCATATTGGTCAACCTCCTGTGGCTCAGGAAGTAGAGCAGGTCGTCCAGTAATCAGAAGTTTGGCGGTTCGATCCCTGGCTCTTGCTGCATGTCACAGAGTCCTTGAACAAGATACTGAACCCCAAATTACCCCGTTGCTGTGGATCGGTGTGTGAATGCAACTGAATGGATTTGTTTCTGTTTGTGATGAGCATGTGCCTTCACTGTGTGAATGTGTGTGAATGGGTGAATGTGGCGTGTAGTGTAGAAGCGCTGCGAGTAATCGGAAGAATAGAAAGGCGCTATACAAGTACAGTCCATTTAGCATTTAACCACTAATAATTTTTGAAGAGAGGAAAATTATTAAAAGCCTTTTCAGGTGGTTGAGTCACATCAATACAGAATTGAATTTAAGATTCCAAAGGAATGCAAAGTCTCTTTTTCTTTTTTCTTGGCATGCTTTACGATTTGGAGCTTGCAAAGCTAATCAGAGGTTTCAAGATTATGTTAAAATTAGGTTGTTGAAGTTCCTTGTAGATTAAATAAGGCTGTTGTACAAAATTGACAAACTTAATTAGAAGCATGAGGTATGAGCAAGAGTGAGTGAAGAAATAAATAAAGAAAGCAAAGGCCACATAGGGTTTTTATGTACAGATGTCAGACATTTATTCACCTGTGAAACGTATGCTTGAACATATATCATGTTTCCTCCTTTATTCTGACTAGTGCTTTTCCATCCAGATGCATCCAGGAGCTGTCAGACTTTTGGCTCTTGTGGCACTGTTTCGTTCGAGAAACAGTTTATAATTGAGAGATTATATTTCACTTAGAACCTTTTTTTAACTAAAATATCTATTTCTGTTATGGATGACTATACATGGGTGACATCTAATTCAGTCAGTTTTGCAGCTTTCACTATTCAGTCTAGCTGTCTTCTGGCTGTCTTGGTCAAAAAGTTATTGCATCTGTGTTTTGCCCAAAATAGAAAGTATCAAGTCCTATCTACTTAAGTGACTTGAGGCTGTTTAAACATTATGCCACTCATTGTTTTATGGCGACAACACCTCTTTGGCAGCTGACTAGACTGAGGCAGTCCATAGTAAGTACTATAAAATACTATTTGGCACAGGTCTCAGCTTTTCCCATAACCCCTCCATCACCTCACCTTATAGTACACCTCCCCTTGTCGCTCTCTGTTAGTTTTGGCTCAATTCAACTCTTTGTTTCTTTCAAATTCATCAGAGGTCATTTTGTGCTAGCTTCACTTAACCTTATTTATACTGTTAGAAAACTTGCTGTGGAAACTACACGAGTAGACTGGAAAATTGGAAGATAACATTTATTAGCATTAGGAGGGCAGTATTGTATCATAGAATCCCATCTGTGAACTTCAATGAATAATCAAACCTCATAGCAAAAACTGATATTTGATGAGCAGATAAAATGCGGCACCTTACAGCACACATCCTCTACCCAGTGATGCACATGGTTCATGTTTCATGACTCACTTGTGTAAAATTAGATTTAAGAGTAGGTGGATCAGAGGAGGCAGATCAGTGATATAACAGTTTATGTTCAAAGTATATTTTGTAATATAATGGTAATATTTTAAGTCAGTTATATTTCATATTGACAGAAAGTTTGATGATTCTAATTGTCAAATAGGATTTAAGTGGAATCACCAAACCAAATATAAATCCTGCCTTGAATAACACATCAAAAGTCTATATTTTTGTCGAGCTACAAAGCCCAGAAAAGACAAATACACTCATTATGGGATCTGAAATTTAGCCATTGAGGATAAACCCAAACATTCCTGTTTGAGTATTGCCAGTGGGGAGAATTAATAATATCCCTGTTTTGTCGAGCCAATTAGTTTTGACCCTCAAATGCCTCTATAGAGCACAGCCTTGATAGATGTATCATTTTATCAGGTTGATATTGAACAGGCGGTAGAAGAGTGAGTCAGAAATGCTATTAATCCCATTATGTGATAGCTCTGTTGAAGTAGCCTACACATGGGCCAACTCTCAGTATTAAGAAGATCCTCAGATGCAGTTAAAGGACCAATGTGCAGGATTTAGTGGCATCTAGCGGTGTAGTTGCAGACTGCCACTCCCTCGCTTCACTCTCACCTTTCAAGCCTAGGAGAAAATATGGTGGCTCTGAAATGTGCGAAAAACACAAATCTTTGGTTTAGCCATTCTGGGCTACTGTAGAAACATATCGGTTCAACATGGCGGCCTCCATGGAATGCAACCCATGGCGTCTGTAGGTCTAAAAGGCTTATTCTAAGGTAACAAAAACGTAACCATTCTTATTTTTAAACGATTACACTAATGAAAACCTTATATTCCATTTCTGCTAATAGATCTTCCTAAATGTTACCACACTGGATCTTTTAACTATGTTGTCTGTTTTGTTAGTTTGGAGAAGAGGATTAATTAATCTGGTGTCGCTCTGATTTCAGTTTAACCTTAACTAACTGTGGAGGTCGGAGCTCCAATCTGTGCCAATCTGTCACTCATTTGCTAATAATAATAACATTGACACCAAAGTCCTCTGTGTGTCAACAGTAGGTCATTTTAAGGCCCCAATATACTACCAAACAGATTCATACATGTTTGAAAGATTTGAGTGGTTGGAAGACTAGAAATGCACTATTTGTGTGCAGTTCATTTACCATTTACTATTATCTCTATTATCTTACTTGTTGTTGTTTTACTACTGAATAGCCAGTACGTTTTTTTCTAATGTGCACAAGACTGTCTGGCAGTTTTATGTCAAAATTAAACCAAAAACACTGGATTAAATAGCTGTAACTGCATGTCCTGATGTTCTGATATGATGTGCATGAAAGAATGAAGGTTTGAGTTTCAACTGGTGATTTCATTAATGCATCATTCAACAAAGTCAACAGTGAACCCCCTGGTGGTGCCCCTTTTGGCCCATTGTTCAACAACTAAAAACTGTGATCAAATAAACTGGTTAGTAATTTAAGAAATGGTGTATGCTTTTATATCATTGAGCCAAACATTGCCTGGTTATGCAGAGCCATGAAAAACGTACTTGAATGTCCTTGACAATGTTTTTCTGTAGTCAAATAAAATTTGCCTTGGAACATGAAAGTCTTCTCTTAATGTTTTTGAAGTATTGGATTCTGTAGTGCAATATCAAAGAAATGTCCAAACACTGGTCTCTCAAACTTTCAGTTTTTATTTTTATTCCTAACCCTAAATCCTTTGTTTGGAGGTTTCATGTGGTTTTACTTTAAGCACCATACAAGGATCCATGACTGAAGGCAATGTGCACATCCACTGTCAGAAAAGTGTGTTGAGGAAAGAGAGTGCACTTGGAGTTCACTGGGCAATATGGCCAAGTGTCCTTTCATTGGTCTCAGCTGCATGGAGAATGGAGGACATGCACAGACTCTCTTAAATATTTCTTTATACCTATATGGGTAAATGACCATATTTCATTAAGAGCCATGGACAAACAGGGAGACATAAGTAGCCAAAATGATGGAACATTATGTATAGTTCAATGTGACAGAGGGAGGGGAGCAAAAAGTGATGAAGTAGACTCTTAAGACAGAGTGAGAAAAGAAAAGAATGATCAAGAGAAATGGTGATCAACAAATATAAGGAACCACTGCTCTCTGGGCTTTTAAAATTATGGAAACAGAAATGTTCCACTATGTCAGTGTTGCCTTGCTGCTAACAGCCCCCTTAGCTGCTGCAGCATATGAAGTAGAAGGGGGGGAAAAACCATACCATCTGCTCAGGACATTCCTAATCATTGGCAGGCCTTACTTTATTGGCCGAATTCCTTGTAGGAACTGCTGATTTGTAAAAATGTGAAGCCTTCCTCTCCAGCCTGAGCTATCCTGTTGTGTGTAATGTGAAGTGTATGTTTATTATTTTTGTATGTGTGAGTGTAAGTGCTTTGTGTGCTAATAAGTTTTAATTAACTGTGGCGTTCCAGATGGAATTGCTGGATAAATTCCCAGTGGAAGGAGGCCAGAAAGACCCTAAGCGCAGGATCATTCCATTCCTACCAGGTAAGAGTTAAACACAAAGTGTCCCCCAAGATCCTTTAACACATGGCACACACACAACTGCGGCTTGTTTGGAATTAATAGAGGAAGAATTATTTTGATATTCAGTTGAGTAATATCAAGAAACAGTTGTTGGTTCCAGCTTGGGAAATTTTAGGATTTGCAGCTTTCTCCCATTTATATTGATACATTTTTCGTTTGGGAATGTTAGCTGTACAAATCAATCAAACTTAAGAGGTCATTTTCAGTTTAAGAAATTCTGATGGACATTTTTCATTTTTCTAAAAAAATGTAGAAGCAACTAATATGAAAAATAATAATGAAAGTAACTAGTAGTGGCAGTCCTATTTTATGATAATACAATGGGTAAATATGCACATAACAATTAAGACCTTGAACTCATGGGTTATAACTTTAATCCCTCTGTATTTTGTGTCTTTGTCTCATTCCTGCTCCCTCTGACTTCTCCCATCAGAAACATTTTGCACACATTGGGTTAAAATGTGGACAACAGTGACTCAGTGATAGGCTGTGAGTGAACTGGAGCGAAGCATAATATTTTGCACACAAAGGAACCAACCAGAACAATCTGCTGCAACTATAATTGGCCATAACCTCACTGTTTTTGTGAACCAAGAAAGAGTATGTTTCCCCATACACTTAAACATTAAGTCAGCTGATCTCTAAGTATATAGTCCATAGACATTAAACAATTATATAGATTACGGTTCAAGGCTTTGGGTGAAACATTAAATATTTGCCATTTTGACATAAAAATCAAAATCTTAAATGGTTGTGTAACATTCATTTTGAGCTGTTTTTTTGGCTTAGCTGCGCCGTTGTCCTGACTGAATCCTCAGCTTGTGTAAAACCTGACTGGCCAAAATTATGCTTTTCTTCTTTTTAGTTGTCTGTTTAGTTTTCCATTACTTTACTAAAAGTGGCAATGAAGTTTATTTGGAATAAGGGCTTTGGGTGTGATTACAAACTTTTGAAATAGTTTGAGATTAAGATCCTGCTGAAAGTAATCCTTTATGAGAGGTTGGAAGAATGCCTCACCCAAAGACCCCACCCACATCCCCCCTACCGAATTGGGACGGGTAGGGGATAGATTTTTTTTTTTTTTGTGGCCTTGCAGGTCTGGAACTCATTGAGAGATTACACGCACAAAAAAACACACACACTCTCAGACTTTCTGATGAGCTCTGAGTAGGAGGAGGGAAAGGGGGAGAGATAGAAAAACACTGCTTCTTATACTATCCCCCAAATCTCACAATTTTACCCTGAAATTCCAAATTTTCTCAAAATTGTGTCTGCTTCCATGAAGGATCTTTGCTTTCTCTCTTCCTGTCTTAAAGTACTGAGTGCTGGTAGAGGCTTTGATTGCTCCTCTTTTCTGTGGAAGAAAATGGCCACTGAAATGCCACAGAAGAAGGCACTTATTCCCCAGATGCTCCTCTAAAGCTGCTAAAAGACCAAGGTTTAAAACTGAGCGGACTCTACGTGGCATCCCCTACTGTGGAACTGTTTACTTCTGTGGTGCAATGTTGCAGAAAAACATTATTTATGCTCAGTGTCTGCATAAATTGAGGTTAAAGAGAATGACCATTACTAGTCCCAGATCCCAGATCAGGTTGTAAACCTCTAGATAGATTTCAGGCTAACATTTGGCTTATTTGCAGAAGAATTTCCCTGACTTCACTTACTGAGCAGAAGTCTGGACTGTGGGCTGAGACCAACCTAACAAGGCACGGAAGTGGTTTTCCCTTCTCGGTTTGATTTGTTCAAGGCCCCAAAGCTGTTTTTACTCGTTTGGTATCTCCACATCAGCAAAGTGGCTTGTCTGTTTGTGTCCATAGTGCTGAATTTCTGCTGCCTGTTTTTTGCCAGGTGTACACACTAAAAGTTAACTGTTGCATTTTGTCCACCTTTAACTCTAAGAGGAACTTGGCCATTTAAACCCAATCCTTAATCTGTTTTTTTTTATTATTTTGAAGGTCAACTATTTTGTTATCGCAGAGTATCTGTAGGCCATCTGTCATCTGAATATCTCACAGTCCTAAATTCCTTTGACAGGTTTATACATGACATTTAGATAAAAGTGATGCATTTGATCCGTTTACTCCAGAGCCTGAGCAATGCTCTTAAAGGCAATGTCAGCAGGTCAGTCCTCAAAAAAGAGCAAGTAGGCTCATGACCAATTTAAAGTTGGGGTTGTTGAACTACGAGTCAAAACCCAAGATGGAATATGGCTATGTTTCTTTAGTGCCCCTGCATGATAAAATAGGTGATATTATTTCATGAACTTGGATCCCAGGTGTAGAATATGAATGTGTTAGTTGGGTTGACTTTTTTTCCCTTTTCCTCTTAATGATAGATTGCATACTTCAACTGGGGAGCTCTGTGCCTGCCACAGTAGGAGGCACAGTATGTTGGATAGGTCAAATATGTTTCTCTGGATCTGAATAACGCATTCCCCTGTCGGCTGTCTATGAAGTTTAGAAAAACACGAAGTAACTGAACTGTTACAATAACCTTGTTGCTTATGACTCATTCATATCACGTTCATCTTTTGTCTGCAGTGGAAGGCAATCACTGCTCTTGTCTACTTGAATGCGGTGCACCAGCTGACTTGTCTTTTACAGTGGCTGATGCAGTCGTATCTGCCCTTAGTCAGCATCCCACCTAAGAACACAGTAATTACAACACACACAGAGCTCATTCTTTCACACTTAAACTTAGAACCTTCACACATGCCCCGTTGCAGCGTTGTGTAGAGCCTTTTCGAGCAAGTCATTTGAGACAAGACCAAATTACATGTAGTAGCAAGTCTCAAGTCAGTCAAAACAAGTCCAAGTCAAGTCTCACGTCTTGTCTCGTACAATTTGTGACTTGAGACTTGCTGTTAAAGTTACTTGGATTTGTCTTGAATGATTTGAGTCAACTTGAGACTTAATAGTGTAAGTCCAAGTCAAGTCTCAAGTCTTTTAATAGTAGTCTCAAGTCTTGTAAAAGCAAGTCCACGTCAAGAGAGTGTCTGGTCAGTGTCGAGTCATTCTAGAAAAGTCCAAATCAAGCCAAAAGTTGAGCAAAGTGTTTCAGATCTCTGTAGGCCAACCATACAATTAAAAGATTTAGATCAAAATTTGAAATGTAAATGTTTCTTTTTCAAGTCTCAATTCAAGTCTTTATGTTGTCAAGTATCAGATCAGTCAAGTCCTCAATATTTTGTGAGTTAAGTCTGACTAGAATTCATGTTCAAGTCTACAGCTTTGGTGTTGTGTAAAGGTTTACCTACTCAAAATCCCTCTGAAGAGCCAAAACAGGGTGAAAAAACAGAAGGAATCCATGTGTGGTGAGCCCAGTGATTAAGAAGTGAGGGCTGAGAACAGCTTTCTGTGTGTGAGGTGTGTAACAACCACCCTCTCTGTGTTCCCATCTCTATCTGTCTCTTCTTACCATCTACCTCCCTCACTCTCTTCAGGAAACAAAAGTTGTTTGATACCCTTGGTCAATGCTGGCTCTGAGACTTGCCATAAAGTCTACTCTGCCTCGACCATGGCTCCAAGGCAGAAGTTTTCCTTCCCTCCCTCCTCCCTCCCCAAACAAGCCCTTTTCTCTGGCTGCACCCATGAGTTGCCTTGCATACAGAGTGGGCAGTGTTGAGTCAGTGCTTCTCTCCTGACCCCTGAGAGCTTTGGAAAACCATCAAGAAAGCTTTCTGTTTGAAAAGTGACGAGGGGAGGAGATGAAGAAAGAGACAGAAAGAAGGAGAGAGAAAGAGTAGAGGAGGCATGCAGGGGTTGACTTTCAAATCTCTTTAAATTCTGTGAGCTGTCCAGACAGTGTGTCCTTGTGGTTACTCTGGCAAGATGTTACCAACACCTTGGAGATTTGAAACGTCTTCTCTCATTCATCATCTAGTTAATCTTCTTTTTAATAGTCTCCTTTATCTAGTACTGTACTGTTCTCCTCGGCACAAACATGGAGGGAAATTGGACTTGTCAGACAATGCACATTTTTTACATTTCCTATGTTCATTCCTCTTTGATGTAATTCTGAAATAATGAAGAACATATTAGTCTATGCTAGCAGCTCTGGGGACACTGAAATGCTCATTGAACCAAATTGTGAAGTGGATAAGTTGAGGTCAATTGTTGGTTTTTGACCCTTAGTATGAGTATAAAAGTGTAAAAAATGGTGATGGTGTCAAGTTAAAGGTCTTTGGTAACTCATACCATGTTGTGAGCAGTCCATCCAGTAATTGTTGACATTTCACTATGAACCAAAAATGTCAATCTACTGATAGTTCTAGATGAAAAGGGTCACTTAACATCACTACGGTCTGGGAACCAGAAATGTCTGTGTCAAATTTTGTGCCAATCCATCAAGTAGATGTTGGTGTTCGTCCTCTGAAGACCTTGAATATTTCTACCAAATTTTATGTGAATCCATCCAATAGTTGTCAACACATGCCACTCAAACTCAAAAGTGTTGTTCGAGATGAAGTCAGGGGATCACTGAAGTTCGTAGGATTCATCCTTTCGGGGACCATGAATGTCTGCACAAAATCCATCCAATAGTTGTTGAGACATTTGGCATGGCTAACAAAAATAGAAGTTCGAAAACAAAAGCCACAAGAAAATCTGACTATTCTCATAAAATTGACCTGTCTAATCATAGTTATAGCTCATATGAATCTTCAAACCATCCAGGTTATTTATATTATGGTATGATACACTCTCTTACAGTATATTTCTTCACTATAAAGTCTATGAATATGATTTCCTGTGCTCTTTCCTGAGTCAGCTAGTAGCTGGATAGAGTACAGAGGTGAAGTCTTTTGGAAGTGGGGTTTTGTTGATTGCGGTAATTATGTAAAATGTATGAGATCTGAGCTCTTTTGAGGAAGTTGCCATGCACCTCTTTACACATTCTCTTTTTTTTCTTGGTTTAGTCTTTCCCTTCATGTATCTTTTATTTGCTTTAGTCTTGGTTCACAAGACGAGCAGTAACTTATGTGCATAAATCAGTCATAATCAGACACTGATGATCACAGACATCATCAAAACGTCGGTCATTCACCCACACCAACAAAACAAACATTTTTGGTTTTAGCTATATGGGTTAAGGAAGCACAATAATCATTTTTAGTAACATGGTGAAGCGGTGGCGCTGTAGGGGGGGCTGACTGCTCAGTGCTGATCTCGTGAGAGATAGATTCGTGTTTCAGCAAGTCTGTTTTAGATACTCTCTAAACAAATACCATAACCCCTTGATGGAGGTGATGCAGTAACTTCTCCAAACATGTCCTTTTTGGTGTTCAAGATCTTGTTACACCCTTGACTTCCTGGCCAGTTTATATGTTTGCATTAGAGCTGTCTCAGTGAATTCATTAGAAAAGCTTCAGCAGCTAAAACGAGGAGAAAATAAATAGTGGCTCTAAAATATCCTGCATACCGTTAAGTTAGATGTGTGTTTTCAGAAACCCATTTGTAGCCATTTCTTGTTATTGTTATGGCGACCCAGCTCGTCTGAGCCTGTGGTTATTTGTGCCTGGAGATAAGAGCAGTGGAGTAGCATTTAAGCTGTCAAGCAGACATAATTTGCTTTCCCCAAATCATTTATTCATGACTTGGAAAGGCCAGCTATTCACCTAGCTCCTTACCCACCTCATTGTGCTGTCAGAGTTATTGATGACGTGACTGTATTGTGTCTGCATGCTAATTCACTAACCATGTTTCGTAAAATCCACTGTGTCCTCATTGTCCTTCAGTGGACCCTTAACTTTTTAAAGTTGCTCTGGACAAAAGCATCATCCAACTGAATTAAATCAGTGTTTTTCTTATTTGGCAATATTGCTTTTATGTATGTAACAGACAAATACATGCAAATTATAAATAGTAATGATAAGAATATACTTTTGCCGTGGAATTACTGGTACCAATGCCGATGATCGATATTCCTTAGGTTACATTTCTTTGAAGATTGGAATTGGGCATCATAGACATGTACATCTACTGTATATGTTTGTGTTGATTGAAGTTTCTGACTTCTAAATCTGTTTTTCTTCTTTTTATTAAAGGAAAGATCCTGTTTAGGAGAAGCCATATCAGGGATGTGGCCATGAAAAGGCTAAGGCCCATCAACGAGTACTGCAGGGTGAGTATATTGACCAATAATAAATAATAACTAATACCCTGGAAAACTGTGAAGGTATGTTTGCAGTTCATGAAAGCTAAAATGAAAAGTGAGTATTTGCCAGCGCAAGGACTAAAATCAAGGTAGAAAGTACAGTGGTCTGGGGAAAAGAAAAACAAGTATCCCACCCACGTTGTATTAACTTAGTCATGAACAGGAAAATGGAAAATAATCTTTTCATGCCCCCTGTGTATATATGAGCAACACAAGTCGCTCATTCTTTCAGGACATTCAGGATTACCTGACCATCTGATTTCAAGAGAACTGGTTTATGTTTGAATACATGTCTTGTTTTGTGACACAGTTACTGTATTTGTTAAAAATTCCAACACATGGTTAAATTAATTAAAGTTAAGCTCATAGTCACACTGCACAATTTGCATAACAAGATTTATAGCATTACATTGTTCCAAGAACAGCTGTCTGAATACTGCCATTGTCCTTGCCTTTTAAATTGCCAGTGTTTGGTTTGTGCCATGCTAAACCCCCCTGGAGCAAGCCTTTGTGACAGCAGGCATCTACCCTGCTGAGGTGTCCTAAAAGCTCCCCAGGTGCTCTGTAGACGACTGTGACCTCTCTGCTAAAGGAGAATTTCTCTCAGGGGATCGATAGTGTATGAGCAAAAATCTGTTTCCGTGTAGCTAAATGTGAAGAATATGTCATTCTACCTCCCAAATGTACAGTAAACCCCCACGATCCCTGTGGTCAAGATCATTTATAAATGGACTTTATGCTGTGAAATTGCTGTCAGTGACAGAAGAAAAACAGGATGGACTTTTGTGGAGGGTAGAAGTGTGTTGTAATGTGTTAGTGGTGTCTGTTTTACCATTTAACATACTGCAGTTCTTTCCACCAGTAAAAACAGAGATGATATAAAACCTATGCGTTACCCAGCTCATTACATGGCTTTTTACCAAAGAGATTAATCACTTGGCCTCAAGAAAGGGGGGGGAATGCAACTGTACATTCTCAGGCTCCACTGTAGCAGAACTGCAGCCATAAAACTGCCAATAGTTAGCAACTAATTGCTACAATTTGACAGAAATGTAACCACAGCAACCTCAATAAATACATTATGATTGATGTTCAGCTTCTTAGCAACAAGACACAGCTTTGTGCCTTTGGAGTAAATTGTTTTAAAATTTCCATTTTTTCTAATTTAGCTTACCAACTGTTTATCAGCAGTAACCAAGGAGTGAGTCTGTTTTGCAACCAGGGGTCATTACTTTTTATGATCAAGACATCTCCAAATGGATATCTTTGCCACAAAGTCACATGATTTAGGTGTATAACAGGGAGGATGAGCTGTTGATGGGTCTACTGTTGTGGTGGTAACTATCTGCAGAGAGTTGTGCCGAAGGCAAAGGGCTCGGTGGTGCTGAGCTTGCTCTAGTCAGCACATAGGTTGTGTTTTTGTTCAATTTTACTGGCTTGCCTTAGGGCCTCTAAACCATAAGCACCTACTTCAGTCTGACTACGAGAGATGAAATTTGAGGATGTTTTTACAAGTTACTGACTTATCCCTTACTCATGCCTTCGTGTATTTTCAACTGTATTATTTTGTCACATCTCTATGAAGTGTCTCATGAAACCACCACTGCACAAATAAGTTTCTGATATGGTGTTGATGAGCCTTTTGTCACTCCTCTCTGAATAAAATAACAATTCAAAAGGCCTCAGAGTGAAGAGAAAGGTTTTATGTATGATAAACAATGTTGAGGACTGCTGGGGACTGTACAGCTCTACTTCACCAAGTGTCGTCTGGGGTTAAAGGAATGTACAGCTGGGGTAGGCAACATCTTTAACCACTTACGTGAAAAATAAGAGTTTGGGGGAGGAATGGGTAGAGTTGTTAGTTCGTGTCTATGGGTGTGGATGTTTATGGGAATAGCTGAGCCACACTAGTGGCTGACTGCCTCAGTCAAGGTTGTTGTTGTGGTAATGTCTAAAATGCTATAACAGATTTACCTGTTGAGGATTGTTTTGAGGATTCCAACTAAATGTTGCTGATATTTTCACTTCATAATTTTGCTGAAGAAAAAAGAATCAGATTCATGAATTGTACCTGGTGAACTTCCACCACTATTATTAGCATTATGTGGAGTGGAAATGAATAGAATCCTGTTGCACTGCTTTTAAATTGGAGCAATGGAAAGACACAACTTGCCAGCCAGTGAGCTAAATGTTAGCATAAACAGTGTCTGTCACACAGTTCAGCCCTATGATGGCATCATGGAAGGTCAGATCTCAGAATGCAGTGTTGTCAGTGCATTCTGGGTTTTGAAGTAACTACTGAAATAAATATGAATTTGACTGTTAGCAAAAAAAAAAGCCTTTTCATCCACCCCCACATGCAGTCAGGTTGACAAGGTGAAACTTCATGTTTTTCTTCGGGAAGAGCTGATTCAGCCCTTCTGTTGCACAGCTGAGGCTTTAACCTGACTCATATGGAATTTCCCCAGTTGTAAAGTCTTATGTTTTTATTCAAGTCAGGAAACACAGTTGGGAAAGAAAGAAAGAAAGAACATGGAACCAGGGATTGTTTGCATAAACCAAGTGTAAGACTGCTGAGCTAGGATGACTGGAAAGGTCACACAGTTTGATGCACATCAAAGAGCCTATTTAGGTATTAAAGCAACTTCCACCTCATTAATAAATATTCAAAAGATGTGTTTGTTAGTGAAAGCATAACATTTTGCATTGATAATACCTCAAAATGTTCTTTTATTCTGAGGCCTTTTAGGATAGAAAATGCTCACAGGAAACACATGTGCACAACCTCAAGCATACACTAGCACAGGCAGAGGCACAGGCACAAGCACACACAATTACCTTAATGCTGCCTGCTGTAAAGAACACCCATAAAGTCCATTTGCTGTAATGTACCCCGAGCCTCCCTCCCGTCTCCTCCCTGGGGAGAATTGTAATGAGTGGACGGGCCACAGGCTGACACGAGCAGAGGAATAAATCCAAGGAGACGATAGCCAGTTCAGGATCGACTATGACCTCAGGCATAGCTTTCTGCACTGTTGGACTAGATACTGGGAGGGGGGGGGTCCTCTGGAGGTCACTAGTTAAAACTCTTAAATCAGCTACTTGGCTTCAGTGTCTCAAGATGTGGATTAAGCTACTGTAAAAAGCAGATTCCAAGGTCATGTTGATGCACAATAATCTAGCAATATTATATGAACCATGAATCAACAAACATGTAAGTGGGCACACATGCACACTCCATATGACTTTGCGGCTAATTGAAAACTCTAGTTATACTTTGTTCATGGCAGTAGTCCCACTCCTTTCCTTCGGCACAAGCTGCTGGCATGAACTTATGGTCATAAGAATGACAAGGCAAATGTGGCACATGGGACAAGGGCACCTTGGTTGGTCTTTGGCTTCTGTTCCACATCCATCAGCCCTGACGTTATATCAGTGTGTGTCAGAGAGTGCGAGAGGTAGACAGAGACTCTGCCCCCTTAAAGGACTGAGCTGAAACACTTAGGAGTATTAAAATCAGAGGTAGAGGCCAGCAGAGGAAGCTTGATGGATAGCATTGAGCATTGCTTGCCAGCAAAAGGAGAAGGAGTGGCTTAGCTCCCTTAGCTGTAAGAGAGATAGTCACTATTGGGTCGTTGGCACCAGTTATTCTGTCTTCTAGTTTGGGGCATCAAGCTGTTGAGGTGATTATCTGTTTCACTGCTTGCCCTTCAGTGAATTGGTTGAAAGAGTAGGAGAAGCAGATAAAACAGACTCAGGAGAGAACAAAAAGAATGGCCAGAGACAGAGAGCGATAACATGACTGGCAGTGTGTGTCTGTGAGAGAGAGAGATCACACCAATGAAGACAAAGATTAATGTGGATGTTTGTCTTTCATCTCCAGCCGTGTTGTCAGGATTCATCTCTCTGTTGCTAGTGATCCTCCACAGAGACATAAGATTAGGGAGGAAGGTAGGCGAGACAGATCAATGAGCTGAGCTCTGGACCAGCGAGGAAAACGGAACCAGCTGGTGTGATTGAAAAGCCCTGCAAACAGAGAAAATTACTTATTTTACTTATTGATGTGCTTTTAATCCTTATAATTTTTCTCTTGATACTGAAATTGAACACCAGCAGTGATTATACCAACCAATATCACAAACTAGAAATACTGTTAGAAACTAGGGGGCACATAGGCTGCACAAAAAGTGTTATTTTAATAAGATTTTGCACTTCAGTGTGAAGTGACGGAAAGACAAGTGTTAACTCTTTAACTTCCATGTCTGTGTGGGAAGATTGTACACAGGTAATTGACAGGAAACAGAGTTTATTTGTTTGAAAAAATTCAGACAAACATCAGACAAAATAAGTTGCTCTTTGTACTAACTAACTAATTTATCCCTGCCCACGAGTCTGAGAATTCCCCTTACAGACTGTATGTAATAATTGTCTGTGCTTGGACACCAAACACTATATTTAACCTGTGGTTAACTTCTGTGTGCAACAAAATGACTGTAATGTACAGCGTGTACGATTACCTAAGTTTCCTGCTCTCTTTCGTGTCTGCAGGCCCTCATTCAGCTGCCAGTCTACATCTCCCAGTGTGAGGAGGTCAGAGTGTTTTTTGAGACCAGACCTGAAGACCTCAACCCACCCAAGGAGTAAGTACCACACATGTACGCAAACTCGCACGCATATCTCCTTAACTGTTAAAGGCTCACATACAATGGCGAACACTTATCATTGTTCCACTGACTCATGTCATGTCGTGTCACGTCCTGCCACATTTCCCACCAGCCTGCCAGGAATTAGCATTCATTATACCCTCTAATGGATATGATTTCTTACCGTTTTTTCAAGCTGAAACTCACGTAATGGATCCTTTTTAAATGCTGAGTTAGCACTTAAGCATGTAGCTGCAGCTCAGTTCAGCCAACATGGCTCCAGACTGCTGAGGCTGCTCTGAAGGTGTGCAGACCTGCTCTGTTGTCTCTTGTAAATCTCAATCAACAGATTAGCGTCATACCCAGCAGTGACAGTTACAGTGTGCCAAAACTAAGACATCATCGAGCAATGAAGGCCAGCGTCCAGCACACACAAGCACGTGTTGACACACACGTAATTTCACACAGGCCTCAGTTACAGATGTGTTGTTATTAAAGCTAACAGCACCTTCAGGGCAGTAGAGGTTACGGGTGGCTGGTTTCATAGAGACCATAATATGCGGCTCACATTTTGACCCTGGAGAAGGTTTTTACACCAACAGCTGTCAGCTGACGTATTCGTTTTAACCTCTCTGTCATCACATACTGATGTGTGGCACTGGGCGTTGAGAAGTTACCACAGTAGGCATGAAATTCAGTTGATAAGTCCTGTGATATATGCAGGGAGGGCATGCAGGGCCAGCAGTAAGCCAGCACATAGAGAGTGGGTTGTTCAATTTTGGAGACTTATAAAATCTGGGTCATAGAAGTGAGATCCCTTTAAGGACCAGTGAGTAGGATTTATTAGACTCACAACCCAGTCTCTAAACACTTGGCTTAATACAGTGGGAGGACTTTGTTTCAGCTTTTGTTGCTAAAACTATGTGGAAACAATTAGAAAGTTAAAAAGACCTGTATTGCAGAACCAATACTAAGTCTTTAGGCATATGCTGAAATCATGTGCTTGTAAACCATATAAACGTGGCTCGGTACATACATTTTTAGTGTTTTTAAAAAGCTCTCTCTATGTTACTAAGTGATTCGCTATATCTCCAGTTTGCATTTAGAAATTCCAAGATGATCGGTAGGCACTTTAGTGGCATCTAGTGGTGAAGGTAGAGGTTGTAACCAACTGAATACCACTCAAATTTGTGAAAAGTGTGAAGGAGAAACTAAGGAGGCCACGAAACTTGGGCAGACACGCTGAAAGCCCTATCTTGAGCCAGTGAGTTTTTGTCTGTTCTGGGTTACTGTAGAAACATGGTGGTTCAAGATGGTTGACTCAATAAAAGAGGACCCCCTCCCTCTATAGATAAAAATGGCTTATTCTAAGGTAATTAAAATACAATTTATGAAAAATATACTCATCTAAATCATCCTAAATGTTGCACACCACACCTTTAAAACAAACTTAATACTATGCTACTGTACTGCACTAATAGTTTCAACCTAACGTAACTGTTCACAGTATAAATACAGGATAAATTATTGTACGCCATCATTTTGAACTACTGTTAGCAAAATGTTAGAATATGTATTACTTAATTTATTGTTTTCTGAGCTGTCCCTTGAGCTGTTGCATCAGTATCTACTTTATGTTCTTTGCACTGTGCGTTCCATTCACCACATTCAAAAAATCTACCAATCTTAGTATGCATGCTGCTATTTTCAAATATACATCATGTATTTCTTTAGCATCCAATTTGGACACATCTTTTTTAACTCCTCAGTTATTATAATGGCTTTAAGAAAGATATGTTCTTTAGCACAGCTTGGTTCAGACAGCCACAGTACTTCACCTGCCTAGTGCCAGTGTAAATTTGTCTTTTTCATGTAACAATTGCCCCGCTGAGTCCCCTTGACATTTAATCTCAGTAAAACTGTTGAGCCAGTGGGACTGCAAAATGTTGCTCCAATTTTGGATTTATTCTAAGTACTGGAGCTACTGGTGTATTTGTGATTTTCTTGAGTCTTTGCAGTCTTTGCTCATTGCAGCCCTTCCTTCACTGTGAAACAGGGACAGCAGAGAATATTAAAACTCTACACATTGTGGCTTTCGTTTTATTTTGAAACGGTTTCTTTTAAAGTTTAGCTAATAACATTATATAATGTAATTATTACAGCATTTGGTTTAAGGCAGCACAATATTTACATTCATATTGTTAGTATTCAGCCAGTGTCTACCAGGAGTGACTTACACTGAGTGAGCAGCTGGGGGTTCTTGCTCAAGGACAATTAATAGGCCACATTGCTGTTACTGTTATGAGACGGGTACTTGCACCAGCCATATTGTATAATGTGGATGGATTTAATGTCAGTTTGAAGTGCACTGTCTGTTGCAGGCAGGTGGTTCACTGAGTTTGCTGTATTGCTCAGGCCTGTGATAACAGATCAGAAATCATCAATCAGAATTTTGTGAATGTGTCACTCCCAGAGAAGCGTCTCGTCCCAATGTTTTTACTAGTGTTACACGCATAAAAACTTTTAACTTTCCCGTGGAAAGAAACTTCATATCTGTGTGTAATCTATACACAATATATGTATACACACCCACATTTTGTCTTCTGTCCTCCCTCAGAGGAGGTTGCCAAGGACACATACCTCCTTACTCCTCATGCAAAACCCCAAGCATGTGTTGGGAGAGGCAGGAAAGAGACGGAGCATTTACTTAAGGCAGATGAATATAGGAAAGACCTTGGTTTGTCTTTATTGAAATTGGATTACTGCTTTCTGCTAGTGCAGCCTGTTGTTTGGCTGACTGACAACAGGGCTGGTGTACAGACACAGCAGCCACTTTGGGAGAAGATTTATCATCGCCTATAAATCTACTACACTGAGAGGGACATCTTAGACTTTCTCCTTAACAGCAGCAAAGTAAGAGGAGAAGAAAAGCAAATACTTCAATGTAAAAAGGAAGTAGACAATCATAAGGCCAGAAAAGAGGGTTGAGAAGTGACAGAGTATGTAGAAAAGAGGAAGTGTTGGGGGCAAGGAAAGGAAAATAGAAAGTAACCGAGATCATAGGGGAAGAAAATGGAACTAAATGGTGGATCAAGATGTAATAAGAGCTGGATAGAAACGGAGCTCATGTAGGGCTAGGACAGAAGGCGATGACGGGATGGGTTGAGGTGAAATAAGGAAGGGTGGGGATAGAGGGAGAGAGAGCTTATGAGAGGAGGGATTTGAGTAATCATTCAAATCAATGATGTGTGAGTTAGGCATGGAATAATATGAACATTTCATGGCACAGTTATCCTGGCTAAAATAATTGTGATTCACGATATTATTCTGATAATCATCAAAATATACTTAAAACACTGATACATACTGGAATCACTGTACCTAACATTTTGTTAATAATTGAATCACAAAGAGGAGACCTCAAATATGCACCTATGTATAGTATTTCCACACATCTAGTTTCACTTTTTTTTGTGGGGAATACAATGGGAAAACCAAGCCTTAAGTCGTGGTGACATGCTTATGCTTTGGGAATGACTGCAAAGATGTGGGCTCCACTATCAGGAAATCAATATAGGACTATACAACAGCTTTTTCAAGTAACTCATATGAGGACATTCACGATTATCCCGTTAATGTAAACTCACCACAATAAACTGTCCCATCCCTAGAATGGTGTAGAACTTAGTAGCTTTTATTTTTATAGATCTGAACAATCAGAGCTTAGAGTGAATATATATTAAATATATATAATCATCTCCTGTAGCAGAGGGTAGAAAGACATTGCATCATTTGCCTATTTTTTTTTTTTTTTTGTGACGGCAAACCTGTTAAGTGTTGTCTCCAATTCCCCCATTCATCATGTCAGTGGTGACTACATGACTCAGGCATAGCTGCCTGTTGTGAATGTTGTTGTTTCTTCATAACCAGCTTCAGAGCAACATGGAAACTTATAAGTGGGAGGATTCATTTGATTTGATACTCTAAACTAGTTACAGTAAATAATCATATTAAGGATCTAGGTCATTGGCTATGTCTGGTGCATTACGTGACCCTGGTTTCAACTCAGTTCAAAACAAGCAATAAAAAGCATACACATATTTTGACGCACACGTTCCTGCTCTATAATAATCCAGAGCATTGGTACTGCTTTGGTTGGCCTGGCCAGGGATTTCTTTTTATAGTACGTTAATGGGCACACTTGTGGGTAAAGATTTATTGAGACTTAAGCATCTGCAATTAACAGTTCTGCCGATCGAACAATGCTTTATGTGGCTGAGAGCATTCATGTTGATGCAGGGAAATGAACAAGCGGTAGGTGCCAAGGAAAATGATCAAGGGAGACGAAGGAGTACGTTAAGTACACATGGAAGATGTGAGATGGAAAAAGGGAAGGCAAAGGAAGGCCATAAAGTGAGAGAGTGATATTTAGATAACAAAGAGGGAGAGGCAGAGGGAGTGAGAGAGTAAAATGCTGAGCATTACCCACCATTGACTTTTCAGGGCATCTGGACATTGAATCAGCCCCTGACTGCTGCTGTGGAGTGATGGTCTATTTATCTGGCTAATGTCTAAACCAGACACAGCAGATGCTGTATTGAATTTAACATCAGACTAAATTTCAGAGATCAGCTCTCTAGAGGCTCTCTATTCACATCAGCCCGAATCAGAGAGAGAGGCAGAGAGACGGATCCTTTTCTCGTGTGTCGGTAGCATATTAAAACAGAGAACGATTATGTTCGCAATTATTGTTAATTCTTGCTGGAGTAATCAGTGTGAGTGTTGTGCTGTGGGACCATGACAAATTCAAAAAAACGAATGAAACGATTCAAAATCTGATCAAATTAAACGTATTCAAAGTTTGTTGAAAAAGCATCATTAATGCCAGTTTGCCACACAAAGTTAATTACTGAAAACATCAATTGTAATAGAGATTATACTAGTGCAGCAGTAGTATAATGAAATAAATGCATAAAATAAACCACCAAACCTCTTCACAAGAATTAACTTTTTTGAGGTTATGTGAATTATTATAGATATTGATAATGGTATTTGTTGGTCATAAATATATTACTAGCTCAGATTGTCTCCAGTACTAATGTGATGATGTCCTCTCTTTAACAGAGAACCCATTGGAAAGAAGAAATCAGGTAAGACAATTGTATTTGTTTGAAATGAAAATGGGTTGATGGCCTTGGCTATGGTGTATTATTTTGTCTTTTGAAAAAAGAAAAAAAAAGAAGTGCAGGAGAAATACAGTCAGGTACTTTTGTTGTTTTTCTGCCTTTATGGGCCTCCATTTTTATGACTTCCTTTATTATAGAAGTCTTCTATACTTGATCTGTAGTATATAATATGGCTAGATCTCCATCTAGTGGTCACAGAGTTTTTCACAGGCAAAAGAAAAAATTGATTCCCCCAGCTCAAATGTTCTTGTTTCGTTAACAGAGACATATGCAGTCAGAACTCAAACGTTTCAGTTTGTTTTCCTGGAGTTGACTGTTATGGTACCACCTTTGCCATTGTTCAACTGCTCAATTTTATATTCTCTCTCTCCTCTTCATCTAATATTCTTATGTTGCATCCATGTCATTGTTTTCAGTTTTCTTCTCCATTCATTTTCCTTTCCATCAGGGATTGTGGACCGAGCGACTACTTTCCTAAAGCGAGGTAGTAAACACTTGGTCGTGCTGTGTGTGTGACCTAGTCGGTTGCTAGTGGCCTGTTCCCCCTCTCCTCCCCTTGGCCTGGGCAGGTGGGATGTGGCTCTGTTGAAGGCTTGGGGCTTGCATAGGTTCCATAAGGGAAGCATACAATATAGTTGGAGGTCTTCAAACCCTGTGTGGCTCATTTCTTGGGTGTAATTTAGGTATTTTGCTTTAAGACAGAGTAGAAAAGATTGATTGATTGATTGATTGATTGATTGATTGATTGCAGAAATAATGTGAGTGTATGTGGTAAGTAATTTGATTTGATTTGAATAGTTAACCTGAGTTTCTTGGATTAGCTTGTTAGTCGAGCTGATCTTACAAGTTTCAACCTAGCCTGGAATGAATGAATAATGAATTGATTTATATTTGCCCAAAGTTTTTAACCTCAACCTGATGTCAGTTTCCCTTTCGACTGTTTCTGAGAAATATTTCCATAACTAATATGCTAATTTGTAATTGATTGTATAGATTTACTTTTGCATTGATTTATTAAAGAAAAGTTTGCTAATTAAACCCATTGGCTGCTGCTCACTGAAGGATGTACATAAAAAGATGTGGTATTTTAAGGTGTTTTAAGAACCACACAAATATAACTTTACCACATCTGTACATTTCAGATTTTCACATTATATTGAACTCATCTGCTGAGACCTGTTTGCTGTCTGCTTGTGTGATAAGATAAGATGAGATAGACTTTATTGATCCCACACTGGGGAAATTCACTTGTTATGAACACGTTTGTTGAAAATGTGTTTATCAGCACCTTCAGTGATCTGCATGCTGTGGTAGATTGACATTGAATGTCCCTTCACCATCCCTGCAGTTGATGCAAAGGCATACAGATTGTCAAAATTGCAATGTGTCAACCGGAAGGTGTTAATTTAATATATCAGGGTTTGTTTTCAACTTTGTAAAGAATATTCAAGAGAAAAGTCAAGAGGAAAAAGCTTTAGTGATGTGAGTTTGTGCTACTGGTTGTATTGTGAGCCCTCACGTGTTGAAGTAGGTTTTCCTCAGGCTGGCTTGGTGCTAACATTGGTGATGGGACTTAGTGGTGCTGGTTTCTTTCTGTGTGGAAGTCACAGCCACATTGATGATTGACTTAACCCTCTATACTTTTTAAATCCCTGCCTTTCACTCCCCTTTTTTTTTTTTTAAATCTCCCATTATCAGCTCATTGTTTCCCTCACGCCATCTCTCCAATCACATCCACTACCTCCTCTGCTTCATGTCTGGGTGAATCTCCATACTCTAGATAAGCCTCCTCTCACTTAAACTTTTGAAGCTTTTGTGCCAAAATTAACCTTGGAATTAAAATTGGCATTTCATCAAAAATGAGTTGTTCATTTATTATAGCTCCACAGATGCATTTTGGCTGTTTTGTAAAGACCATGCTAAAATTGGATTAGTTAAGTTATTTAAAGGGCCTATAAAATCTGACATTTTAAAAAGGTCATATTCCCTTCAGTCGGTGAGATTCCCTCAGTGAGGGATTTTAAAGGCCAATATCTCTTATCTCTGGTGATTTCACATTCGTGGACATCCCTTTAATATCCATTAACAAATATTATCACAGATCCTTGGTGGAAAGCAGATGGCAATGATTAGAGGCTTATTTACATTATTGAGACACCCTTAGCTTCCTAACAACAAAGGAGCAGAAATGAGAAAAGGGCTAAATGAGCCTCTGTTCTGATTTGTTCCTCTCAACAGGAGATTCCACATCAGCAGACCCTCTCCTCCTCGACCAGTATGTGGCAGTAACAGACTATGAGAAGCAGGAGAGCTCTGAGATCAGCCTGCATGTGGGTCAGGTGGTGGAGGTCATTGAGAAAAATGAGTCTGGTAAGTAAGCTTGCAGGTTTAAATCTGTCATGCATTTCGACAATGAATTATTACAATTACTTACATTTTCTCAACATATCTTGGATGTCAATGTGTTCATATGCTGCTCATTTAGGGTGGTGGTTTGTGAGTTCAGAAGATGCCCAGGGCTGGGTCCCTGCCACCTGCCTTGAGGCACAGGATGACCCTGATGACTTCACTTTTCCAGGGGAAGAAGGTACATAAAACTTTCCATCTGGGTTATATTGTTTAGATTCAATACTTCTTCAAGAAAAGGCTTAGAATGTAAAGAGTCCATTTAGCATTTAATCTCAAACCCACTGTACGTGCAAGTTATTTCTTCCCTTTGAAATAATGAGAGTAAGCAGAAGTTATACTGTACTTTTTTTTTAATTTTGACAAAAAGTGTTTGTGCTGTTGTCTTTTTCCTTCTTAAGTGTAACACACACCACACCTAGTACTACGTCATTTGGCATGCACCATTTGAGTATGTTAGCACTTACATTTAAATATAAATAGAAGTTGTCATGGTGATGTACAGATCTCAACAGCAAATGTGACACCTCACAATTATGTATTTCAACATAATTGGATTGGGCAACACACACACACACCGGCAGAATATAATACACAACCTCACCCATTGCTCAAACACTTGCTGTGTCTTGTAGCCAACACTTGGCAATAGACAATCCAGTTATGTAGAAATACAAATAATATATGCAATCGATGCACTAAAAGGTTAAACTTGAACAAAAACACGAACAAATAGGTAAATAAATGCTATCTGTGGTATAACTTTGGAATGAGATTATATAAAAAAGCACAGTGTACAGTAGATGATACTATAATATAATGTAATGATACACTACAGCACATGGTAGCAACCATGGTAAGCAAAGAAGGATACAGCCAATATTCAAATTATAGACCATATAGCAAGTCTTGGCAAGCCTAAAAAGTATGTGGTTTAAGAGTGGACATTTAGCTGGCTGCCCTGTCTTTGTTGGGCAGGTCACCCCTCCGAGCCCTAGAATTACAAACTCACTCACAACTAACATCCACATTCACTGACATTACTGCAGATGTATAGATCTATAATACAAAAATAGAAGCAAATAAATGAGCAATTGAGCAAGTACATGATACGGTCAAGTTGTCTCTATGCTAGTCGGCATCAGTAATGACAAGATTTAATTAAATAGTCCCAAGACCATGCCTACATCTACATCACCCCCTAATTAACAATAAACTGTATGGTCTACAACTTACTATTAAAAGAACAACGTATACAGTAACTGCCTTCGGTGGCAGTAGCATTGTACAATCGTATTCCCAACATACTGATAAGGACAGCACTTGGGGTTTGAGTAGGAGAAGACATATTTCACCTAGCATGGATGGAACCTGTAATACTATGATTTAAAATGATTAAAATGTGCACAAACCTAGAGGAATTATTTGTCGGTATATGGGTAAAATGTCACCAGACCTGCCAGGAGGAGAACTGTTGCCGTTTTTCCACTGCATGGTACAGCTCGACTTGACACGCTTTTGGTATCTCTACTTTGTTTTCAAGAAGTTGCAGCCTTTGTTCATTGTCAAATTGTAAAGCGTGGTCCACACAGCACGCGTGAACAGCGTGTCCAGAACACGCAGTTCTTGCTTTTTATTTTGGCACCCGTGTTAACAGGTTAGCGCAGCCACACTGTCCGCATTAGATGTGCAGCTGCAGCAACACTTTACTAGAGAGTCAAAAATTTTTCCTGTTTTTTCTGCAGACAGTTCCCAGCAAAATAACACAGTGAAAATGATCTGTTTATAGTCATATAGACATACAATACACCTTTCACTATAGTTTAAGTGTCTATATTTGTAGGATATGACACGGATGTGAAAAGAAACTATATTTCTTTAATTCAACACCTCCTGTGTCAGTTTCAGATTAAAAGCTCTCTAGCGTCTCTGTGCACAGAACCCATTCATTTGTTATCAAGACTTTTATTGTATTGTTTGTCATGCTGTGTGGACAAGGGGTAACTTATACTGTACATTTACTGCCAGGCATCACCTTTTAATATCTGCTCAGCTCGCTTAGAACCTCTACTGAGGTGATACCACAAAAAATACCAGCTTCTACTATGCTTAATGGTAAACCAAAAGAACAGTGAGTCAAGCTGCGCAGTACCGTGCATTAGAAACACGCTTTATGATTTCTACTTGGCCCACCAATATTGACAATGCTCTCATTTAGGATGAAAACATCCTCCAGATGGCTTATGTAATGTTCACTTCCTATTTTGCCCCACTTACTGTGCTGGGATGTCAGTGCCTCGGAGATTCTGGTCACTGCCAAGGCACATGGGTCGTCGCAGAACTTTAGGGGATCTATTCAGCACAGGCTTTGGGCAAGGTGGAGCGCACGCCTTTCTTCTCCCCCTATTCTAAATGTGTGTGTGCACACACATGCAACTGTGTGCATGTTTGTTTGTGTGTATGCATGAAATGTTTGTTTGCATGAGAGATCCGAGCATGTAAATTAAATCCTTGCATGAAAAGTGGATTGATTTTATCTGATATAAATACTTATTAAAAAATGATATAAGAAAGATGTCTATCATTTCAATTAACCAGCATTAAACACTTGATAGATCTGTAGAATTACATAGAGTATAATAAATAGTAGAAATAATAATGAGAATAGTACAAATGGCTTAATGTCCAGTAAGTTTGTCCTGTTTGTGGTCAATATTTGTGGAGGATGAATGTGTGTTTTATGTGTTGCACATGTGTGTATCTTACATCTTTTCACTCCACAAGATGCTGCTCAAGCCTTGCCTCATTTAATCAGGTAGTTGAAGTTAAAACAATGCACTTCTGTACCAATTACAGGACCGCATCCTAAATGACATAGGCAGAGTGTCATGATGGACCTTCCATTAAAAGATTGCAGACATTTTCACTGCATACCAACGACAAGAAGCTTAAACAATTTCATGAATGCAGCAATACACACTCTGACATCTTTGTTGTAGTTTGATTTTTAGGAAAGTTCCAGATTGCAGCTTTAACTTTGAAACAAGCCATTGTAATCCATGTGTGCGCTTTGTCTCCCAAGCTATTACGCTACATCAGCATTTCTTTGTGCTTCCCTATTTGTGAACATGTACACAGTATTTTATTAAAAACAGACACTGTGTTTTTAGATTGACCAATATTGTCTTTTTCTGGCAACAGAAGAGAAGTATTCTGTGATTTACCCATACTCGGCCAGGGACGAAGATGAGATTGACCTGGAGAGGGGCATGATTGTTGAGGTGATTCAGAAGAACTTGGAGGGTTGGTGGAAGATCAGGTAATACAATCAATGACATCGATATAAAAAAAACTGTATTTACTAAAGAGACAAATAATTAATTTAAACACATAAGTTTAAGTAACAACTTAGATAATAATAATGGAAAAGAAAATTGTCTGATATCATCATACAGACTACCTACCCAGTCCAACAGTGTTCTCCCCTGAAGCCACTGATTGTACATCTTTCCTCCACTCAGGTATCAGGGCCGTGAGGGCTGGGCCCCAGCCTCCTACCTGAAGAAGTCTGACATCCAGAACCAGAAGCAGTCAGCAGGCGGCGCTGCTCATGCCAGTACCAATGACCTAGATGGGGTTTCTAAACAGAACCAGCAAAACAATGCAACCAGAGACAACCGAGACAACAGCCATAAAGAAAACAGACTCTCTTTCTTTTCCGAGAACAAAAGTAGGAAGTGAATTTAAAATCCAGTAAACTGCTTATCTGTTTTGCTGCTGCAACACTTTCATACATTTCAAAGCTGTCTTTCAACAAAATTGATTACTTTGTGTCTTTTTCATTCACAGAAGTGGGATCAAGACACAGACCTCCCCCACGTAGAGATCTTACCATTGTAAGCGATCCCATAAAAACAGGGGGCACTCTATTGTATTGTGGCTCTTAATTGACTGACTCAACCTTTATGTGTCTCTTTCTTATTCCACAGCCACGTGGTACAAACCTTCCCAAGCCGCCCATTCCTCCTCAGGTTGAGGAAGAGTTCTACACCATAGCAGACTTCCAGACCACCATCCCTGATGGTATTAGCTTCCAAGCCGGAGTCAAAGTTGAGGTGGGTCAGGCACTTCTTAAAGTTGTATTAAAGTGTGTGTGTGTGTGTGTGTGTGTTCGTGTGTGTGTGTGTTCGTGTGTGTGTGTGTTCGTGTGTGTGTGTGTTCGTGTGTGTGTTCATGTGTGTGTTTGTGTGTGTGTTCATTTAGAAGGATCTGTTGGCATAAATGGAATATAATATTCATAGGTATGTTTTCATTAGTGTGTAATCACCTGAAAATAAGAACAGATGTGTTTTTGTTACCTTAGAAAGAGACATTTTTATTCACAGAGGGTGCGGGTCCTCTTCCACGGTTCCTTGGCTGTTGCTACAGTAGCCCAGAATGGGCAAACCAAACACTGCTAGATTCCACTAAATCCTACACACTGGTCATTTAAAATAAACAATATAGTGAATATAGTTTGAATACAGATTTGTACATTTTTTTCCTACTAGGTGATTGAGAAGAATGCAAGTGGTTGGTGGTACATCCAGATAGATGAAAAAGAAGGCTGGGCCCCCGCCACCTTTATTGACAAGTACAAGAAGACCAGTAATGCCCTGAGACCTAATTTCCTTGCCCCTCTGCCCAATGAGATGGAGAAGCTGAGACTGGAAGATAGTGGTTCTTCAAATGTTTCAGGCACAGATGACAGCTGGTCCAAGCCTTTACCAGATGAGCCAACCACAGTCCCCGAGTCCTGTGCCCGGCCTAAGCTCAGAGATTGGAAGTCCGGTGCCAGCAAGGGCGCCCCTGGGCTTTTACCTCCAGCTCCAGCTGCCCCTCCAGTCGAGGAAAAACCAGCTCTGCCGCCTCGAAGGGAGTCCATTAATAAGAGCTTTGAATTAGAGATAGCAGAGAAACCGAGATCTGATCATTCCAAACCTTTGCCCCCAAAACCCCCAGCTCCTGGGGTCATCATGCCGCTGGTTACACCCAAGGCAGCCCCCTTCAAACAAGACAAACCACCAGAGACCAAGAAAGAAGATAAGAACAAACCTCTTCACCTTCGGAATGAGATGGGTCTTGAATGTGGCCACAAGATATCAGCCAAAGAGGTGAAAAAGTTTAATCTGAAACCCGTACCAAAACAGCCACCAAAACCCAAATCAGAAGCGCAGGAGGAGAAACCAGAGGCAGCTGGCCCAGCCGTGTTTATGAAGCCAAAGCCAGTGATCCGACCTAAACCTCTTCCAGCTGCCAAGCCGGATCCTCCGGCAGAAAACAAGCTGGACATCACCAACTTGAGAAGCAAGCTGAGGCCGTCAAAACCTGCAGATCTCGGCTCTGCGTCTGAAACCTCAGCAGCAGTAAATAGTTCCCAACCCAGTCCACCCCCTAGCTCTCCCCCCATCCATATCCCTACTCTCAATAATGGTAAGCACTGTGATGAGCCAAAACTCCCCCCAAAACACATCAATGGTCATAGCCAGGAGAGTTCATCACCCCCTGGAAAACCAGCAGTGCCTCCCCACAAGGAACCTCCCCAGAGACCCCCCGGCATGGCTCCAAGGAGACCTCCTCCTCCAAAGAAGGAGAATCCATCCAGCCCGACTGAGCTCAAACCTCCACCTGCCCAGGACATGCCCAAGGCGGCACCACCCCAACTCAGCAGACCCCCTCCCCCTAAACCCAAAGGGTTTGTTTTGGCACCTCCAAACAAAGAGAAAGAAGATCCTAAAGTTAATAAAGTCCCGATTCCTCCCAAGCCCCTGGTGAAGAGTGAGAAGCCCGGCCCGCCAAAGGACAAGCTTCCACCTTTACTCAAGGAGCCCAGTAAGGATGAGCTGTATCTAGCTGTGGCAGACTTTGAAGGGGATGAAAACACATCCGGCTTCAAGGTGGGTACAGTGTTTGAGGTGATGGAAAAAAACGGCAGCGGCTGGTGGTTCTGTAAAAATGTAAGAGAAGAAGTCGAGGGCTGGATCCCCTCGAATTACCTGAGCAAGAAACCTTAGTGTGAATGTGCCCTCAAAACCATTGCCATATGAATAAATAAACTAAGGATTTAAATTAACTAAATATCACTACTTTGTAGCTTATTAGCATTTGTTTTTATTTATAGGTACCTTTTTTTTATTGAATTTGTGTTACTTTTCATTTTGATAAGAATATTCTACCTAAACTGAACCAGCAATAACACATGACCTTGTTGGGTCTTGTGATGTTTACTTTTGTTTTTATCTAATATTACATGAACTCTTAGGTAAAAAAAAAGTTAGATGCTAGAACAGCAGTAAATGTATCTCCACCCATGCCTTCTATGATATGGTGCCTCTATATTATATGCAAAGTGCTTCAGTGCTTAATATACTGTATGCAACTGTAGACATAGTCCTTCTTGGAATCGTAAAGAGCCTTCTGACTAAAAATCAAACATCTACATCACAAGAGAATACACTAAATGGGCAAGTCCAGCCATTCTTTCCCCAGCCGTAGACAAAAAAAAAATCCTACATCCCTTAGACAAAGACTGCACATGAACTCACTGGGGGAGTTCTATGACTATATCTAGGCTTTCAAGTGCTATTAGCAATTACTAAGAGATGTCTTTGCCAAGTAGAAGTGCTGTTTGTTATACTAGAAACATGCATATTTGTTTTTGTGCTATCGTAATGCTTTCTTTGTTGACTGCATAATTAATGTTGCAGTGACTTGTAACAGATGTGCACTTTTTCAGTCATTTCAGATGAGGTAGGTTTGAGGTTTGCACACGCTGAATGAAGGGGAAGAATGCCACAGAGCATTTTATTTCTTAGTTTTATTAGTCATTTTTATTAGCTATGTTTTTTTTTATACTCACTGTAACAAATATCCAAGATTGTCAAGATGAGGCTAACATCCAAACTGAAACTTAAAAAGAAACTCTCTGTCAAAGTATTTCAGCGTAATCATGTTATCTCACACCCAAATAGGAATGGTGAAATGTGACTTGCAGAGCATGTCTGCATATCTGTACCAGATGTCTGACCTAAGAAATTGGAGCTCTACAGTGATTTGTGCAATGATTTACAGTATTGTAAGTGTACAGTCTGTTCTTAACCGAAGTTTGGTGCTCAAATAACAGCAAAGTATGACCATTGTATAAAAATGTTTTACATTAATGCTTGACTGGTCTCAAGCATGGTCAGTATAGCAAATTATTTTTTATTGTACAGAAATGAGAGACATATCTTAGCTGTTGTCACTTTTCTTTGATGGTCCATCTGTTAGGTCTTTAACTCTGTACTGGTGAAGAGATTTAAAGAAGAATGAGACAAGAAGGAACTGGCTTGGTTGATTTATGGGATTTGCCAATTAGAGGAAATACAGAGTTGTTTTTTTTGTTTTTCTGTCGATAGATGAGTGAAAAATAAGTCACTTAATAAAAATATGTGAAACAAGTGGCTGCTAATTTCACAAAAAGCAGTCCAGAAATGATTGACAACTATACATTGTTTTGATTAAGTGTTAGGTTTACTAAATAAATAAGCCAAGTTGGAAAATAAAATTGTATGTTCATGGTTCTCGACACAATCAGACAAGGCTTCAAGCTGCAACAGATTCTGTTCTGCTTCTAGTCGCTAGAATGTTATTCCACCTTCCACCCATGTTTTATAAATAAAGGACAGTACGTTACCAACTACAAAAAAAAATGCAAAAAATTGTATTGTCCAGGTATGTTATGTGGACAGAAGGCAGGAAGGTACAGTACAGCGCAAGGCAAGTGGGTTGATGGTGTCATCATTTCAGTATTGTAATCGTATTTACTTTTTTTGACATGTATTTTTCATTACATTGTGTCTTCTTTTGTGTCTTCTTTTACTTAAGTCAATAAAAGTTTTTGATTTTTCAGTTCAGCTGTCATACTGTTTGTCATATTAAAATCCCATTGGTTTCACTCGTTTCCACTGATGGACATTTGATGGGGGAAAACACCAGCCAGTAAACATGTAGTGTAAAATATTTTTTAAAATCGGTTTTACAGATGTTTCATACGGAAACATTCAATGTGTTTGTTAGACTAAGGATTCACACAATGAAGGTAAAACTAACTTTTTTACAAGAAAACTTCTCAGGGCACTTAACAATGGATTAAATGACTACATGCAAGAGTGGTTATTCCTTGGTTTTAAACTTTTAGGTGACGATGTCAGTGTTGTGTTTACAGCTTATTGTGCTGCCTCCAAGTGACCCAAAAAACAAAAACAAACCCAAATATTAATACAGATTGAGTTGCATATTGTAGGGACCCACCTCACGCTGTTGTTCTAACCCTTGCAAGTGTTGAGAGAGCCAGTGACTTCTGCTACAGTGAATGAGAACAAGCATGTGATTAGATATGGTAATAAATTATAAAAGTTCAGTGCAGGTACGTGGATGAAACTTACTGTAATGTACAGATGATCTAGCCTTCTATTCAATGTCCCTCCTCTCATGTTCAGATCGAGAATAAAAGGAAACCTCGCCTCTGCCTCTTTTCTAAAAATCTTGTGGTATCCAAATTGATAAAATAGAAATGTGACTAAAAATCCTGATGTATTACTATTACTACCATTAGAAAGAGCCTACAACACAATCCAGTAATTAGAAAATCTGCCTTTATTAAGATTTATTTACAACAGTGGTTCCTTCTGATACAGTTCCATTCACACTCACAACCCCTCCATGCAAACTATATCATGTAAACTGAGGCAGAGAGGAAGGCATAGATGGAGCCATTAAACATGACAGGAAAGATCATTTTTACAACAAATATAAATACTTTTGAGAGAGTGCGAGATGGAGAGAGATATTAAGCTGTACCTGATTGCTGACCTGGCTCAACGTAAATCTGTAGGCAAAACTGGTATATATATAAAAAAAAATGTCTCACTCAGTAAAGGCAACAAGTTCCTCTGCTGCAAGCATAAGCTTTCAGTTTAGGATTAAACATCTAAAAAAGGCATCTTACAGCAGACTTTATTGTTGCACTCTCAAAAAATGATATGAAGAGTTATGTTCCAAAATCAGATCCTTATTTGAAAAAAACAAACCCTAAATTATTGCTTCCCAAGTACTAAAATTTCAAGCAATGCTGTTTCTTTCAAAAGGTTGATACATCTATTTGTGGAGTTAAACTCTTCATATTATTCCCCCTCTCAGTGCAAAGGAAGGCAAAGTTTAAGAAAAAATAAACCTCTTTAAGCTTAGCAAAGACATACACGTAATATTGCACTTTGGTTAGCAGGCAGTGCATTTACTGCACATGGTATGACAGTTACACATTTAATACATTTTTTAAATTCAAATTTAAGTCTCCTATCTAACATCGACAACAACAGTAATTTGCTTTGGCTTTGTCAGTTCCCATCCAGTGTGACTGATTTTACAGTAAAAATACAACAGAAAAGCACAAATGTCACGATAACAATACTTTGTGAATATCAAAATAAGTCTTCCCTTGTCTGTTAAAATCTCATTCCTAAATAATTACTAAAAGAAACTATTAAATTCTGATCTGGATTTAGCCTAATCCCCCATTTCAAACATGATACAAAATGATAAGCGCATCCTTCATACCATGGGTGTTGGTTAAAAAAAAGAAAGAAAATATTTAAATTAACATTTACAGTGATGAATCTGGATACGGTTGTTCTTTATCAGTAAAAATAAATAAAGGCAGACTTTAGCTGCTATGTGACATGCATCTGACTTATGAGCAAAGCTATACAGAAATGGGGTACATTTAAAAAAAAGTAAATATTAAATTGTGGGTATGTTTTTGGTCATGCTATTTGGAAGACGGCACTGATAATTTGGGCTAAATAAAAAGTGCTCAGTTACTGGCTCACCAGCTTTCATAGAAACAAAACATTGTTCCACCTCATGCAAAAATAAATTCTCTCGCTGGGTACTAATATTGCAAACTACATCTTCCCATCCAAAACAGTGTTTTTTCCTCAATATTAACTAAATTAGACAGACAGTTTGGTATCTTCAGCTCACCCAAACTCATGGCCACTGTACCATATTACCCTCATGTTTCACTGGAAGAATAAGAAGCAGACTTAAACAGAAAAAGGAAATTTAAAAAAAAAAACACTGTATGGGAGCAGATACTATGTAATTGAGTCATGTGATAGCACATGATAATTTATAAATCCAATAAATGCTACAACACTTAAAAAAAAAAACCAAAAAAAAAAACTTAGAACATGAGTTAAAACATAAATATTCACTAAAACAATAAAGGAACCTGATGGAAGGATAGGCGTGCTGCCATTACAGGCAAAGCCTGTGGGCGTATGGTTGAGTGTGTATATGGTCATGTGTCGGTTCTAACAGTGGCCAGGAGATATAGTGAAACGTCACAGCAGCTGTTCTTATGTGGTGGAAGAGTCTTGGTAAGGCACAAACTTAGAGAGTTTGTTGGGAGAACTTGGGTTTGGGCAGTCAGAACTCACGCTCATCCTGAAGAAAGCCTCCTGCTCCCTTTTCTTCATGTTAAGCTCCTCTTCGAGGGTCTAGGAGGGTTGGAGGAATAGGGTGGAAAACAAAATATGTATAAGATTACCTGACCCAGCTTACTTAGAGGGATTTAAACTGTATTCACACTTTTATAATGTCATAGAGGTGGAATATTTCTGTACCAACATAATAGGAAAAACTATTATATCTATCAAACTTCTTTAGTGTGTTCTTAAGTCTTTATTGAATATAGGACAAGCTGACTATGTAGACTGTACTGTATGTTGAAAATGATGAAATAATTGATACCACTCAATATTATATCTGTGCTTTAGGTACTGTATGAAGCTGGAGCCAAAGAAGGTTAGCTTAGCTCACTGCACCCAGCCTCTTTTTGCAAAGAAAAAACATGTAAAACCACAACTCTTTACATTTTTTTGTTTACAGATTACACACACAAAATGCAGTGTCCATTAGTGAGTTTTAGAGGTGTTGCACAGGTAAGTATCATCAAGATATCAAAATAGCAAGATAGCATATTTCCCTAAAACTGAACTACTCTTTTAAATGGGTCTCTTATATACATCAATGTATTAGTTAGTTTACTTGCTTCACACATTGTAATAACATTGTGATGGGAAACATACCTTCTTCCTGGGTTTCAGCTGATCCCTCCATTCCTTCATCAGCTGGTTGTGCTGTTCATCCAACTGCTTGAGCCTCTGAGTCTCATTCTCAACCAACAGGTGACATTTTTCATTCTGAAAGCACAAAACATCCTCTTGTTAACATCTGCAGGCCATTTATTGTGCTCATTGTGTATAAAGTGTGTGTGTGTGTGTGTGTGTGTGTGTGTGTGTGTAAAAGATGAGTGTTTCCCCTCACTCACCTGCAGCTGCTGCAGATCTCTGATATTGCTTTCACACTGGCCAATCATCTCTCTCATCTGGTTCTCGTGTTTCTGCTGCTGATGCAGCCTCTCAGCCTTCTGTCGTTTCTCCTCCTGCTGAGAAAACTAAAAAGAGAGCAAAAGGGAGCGAGTTACTAAATAATTAACTTGATGCTTAGATATGGAAGGAGAGAACCCTGTGCTACTCCCCCCACCTGTTTGATCTTCTCTCTGTCTTCGGATGAGCTCCCTGTTGAGTTGATGCGGAGGCTCTTCTTGAACATGGCCATGCGGGTCTTGGCCTCACCGCGCTGGATCTTAGGCAGCCGGTTCTTTTCCTGCTGCTGCCGGGCTTTCAAAATCTCAATCATTCGCTGGTTGTAGCACTGCATCTGTTCCTGCTCCTGCAGTGACACAAAGAAACAGATACATTGGCACATTCATTCGATGAGTATCCGGGATAAATATGTACTTAGGAATGTTAGTTCCTGTCTCAAGACTTGATTTTGACACGTGATCACACGATTTAACCCAAAGCTAAATGCGTGTAAAATGCTGGGTGCAAACATATTGTGGCATTGGAGTTGTAATCCAATGATTTACCTTCTCATGTTTTTTGAGAAGCTGGTGCCTCTGGAGGAAATACTGGTCTTTCAGCTGCTGCTTCAATAACTGGTGTCTCTCGTAAAGGTTCTTCTCCTCCATGTCCCATATCGTAGCCTCACGCTCTAATGGAAGCAAAATGACAAGAGTTGCTGAATGTACAACAAATGTACCTTCCCACACCAGAGGGTGGGCTGAGACCGATAAGACTCAGAAGACTGATTTGAATTAAGCCTATGCACCTCTGATAAGGTGCTGTTTCTTGTTAAGGCATTCCCTCTCAGTCTCTGCAATCTCTCTCTTGTTGTTGGAGATGATTCTCATCAGCGTGGTGTCCAGGTAGTTCTTCTGCGCTGTGAGGAATTTATTTTCCTAAAACACAGAAAAGAAAGAAAGAAAGCCATGAATGAAGGGAAGGAATGTCTGGTTAAAAAAACAGTCAAGTATGAAAGAGTGTATGAAAATACCATGAGCCCAAAGGACTGTGGATCAATGAACTTACCTCGCTTATCTTCATTTCCTGAAAGGAATTCATTTTCTGCTTCAAGGATTCTTTACGCTGACTTCTGGGCAGCTTATCAACAGACTGTTTTGTCTAAATATATTAAAAGAAGGCACATTTCAGCTAACAAGATTCCTGTTACGATTTAAGTGGACAAATGATAGCAAAAAATTAAAATTGTGAGTTTCTTTCCACACACACACATTATCTTTAACATACCTCCTTTTTCTTTTGTTTTAACTGATCCTGGAACTTGTGGTAGTCGCGTTCCTGCTCGGATTTGATGCGTTTGGTCTCATCCTTGAGTTTAACATTGTGGTCCGCCTCCATCTTCTCAATAGTCTGCTTCTGGTGCTTCTCCAGGTTCTCCAGCTCCACATCATAGTGCTTCTTCTTAGCCTGGGACACACAAATAGGAAACAACAATATTATAAGCTGGTGAAAACTGAAGACTTATTTTTTACAGGTGTGGGATTTTTTTTTTTTTTTTACAGCTGTTGGATTAATGATATGTTGCTAGGTGTACCTAATAAAGTGGCAACTGAGTGTGTGTGTGTGTGTGTGTGTGTGTGTGTGTGTGTGTGTGTGTGTGACTCACATTCATCTCCTGGTCAAAACGTCTCTGCATTTGTTCTCTCTGCGTTTCCAGTTTGCCGTTTAGAACAGCCTGAGCACGGTGCTCCTCCTTCTGCATCAAACGGAGCTCACGCAGCTCCTGACGTCTAAACACACACAAACACACAGAATTATTTTCAACATGTATACAACGTATACTAACATTAAAGTTAATAATTCTACTGTCATTTAAGGGGGGCACACGATGGGATTTGCATGGAATATAATTCCTAGTCTGGCAGTACTGTGATCACACATGCAATGCCATATTGTTAACACTAGATGGCATAAGTAATGCACCAGGAACTCCTGGCTTCAATAACAGTACAGAGTAACTGTTCAGAGTTGTAATTGTACATACTGTTCATTTAAAGAACATCAAGTGATTTATATCATTGGACAACACATATAAAACTGTATTTATCTACATCACCAAATACAATCTTCACCCTGATCTAAAAGTAACTACAGAGATATTTTTTTTTCAAAGCACAGACTGTATGTAACACAAACATTACCTAAATGAGTCTTTTTCCACAACAGTTCAGATATTTGTGAAAATCTCAAGGGGCTAAAGCCTAAAAGAGCAGGATGCCTTAAATAGTATGTGTATTAAAAGCAACATCCAAAAGGCTACTTATCACTGTACAGACTTCACTCTGACCTGAGGAATGAACAGAGTTCATGGACCTCATTCACAGAAAATGAAAACAGATTATTTTTCCACGAAAAAAAAAAAAAAAAGGAAAACGAACCAAGAGATGGAGACCGCACATTAATCTCACTCTGCTTATCTAGGTGGTGAATATATATTAAAGTTTGTGTACTGAATGTGTGTTGCGTGCAGACAGTCACCCACATACCTCAGGAATCTCATCTCCTCATCTTTCTTCTCGTCGTCTCTGATGATCTTGGAGGTGGTCACACTCACCTCTACGCCATCAATAACAAACTTCCTGGTTCGCTTCAGAGTCTTACTCGAGAAGGCCTGAGTGGCAGACAGAGGGCAACAAAGGTCACAAAAAAGGAATGAGCTTCAATACAAGTGCATACTCCATGCATCATTTCATGTATTTGAGAGTACAGTGAAGGTCTGCCAGGGGGTTATTCTAGTAGTTTAGATGTAAATTAAAATGTTGTAAAGTATCTCAAAAGAGCAATTTAGCACCGCACCGCTATAACTTTGCCAGATTCACGTTAAAAAACGTTTTTCGCGACAAAACAAAAAACAGTAGGACCATTTAATACATTTTACTTCCTTGTCGAAGCCTGGTGCCTACATTACTCACAATTCCACTCGAACGCTGACAACTAGGTCAGAGATTCAGTGTTATGCTAGTAGTTGCTCATGTTGCCTCGAGCTGCTAGCCTCAAGCAGATAGGAGATTGAGGAGAAGGCTACAGAAGTCATGCAAGCTCACTTCTTCTCTTTTTCCATTTTCAAACTTGTAGTCTTCCGCCCCCAAACAGCACTGACTCACGTGACCTCACTTGAGGCAGTTTATCAAAGTCTATGCAGCTCCCTCAGTAGCCACAAAGGGCTTCACACAAATGTTTCTTCACATATGCAGTAGTGCTTCTCAAGACCTGTAAACCAACTATGATGTGTACAATTAATGGAGTTCCTCTTTCAATATGCGTTTGTGATTCCCAATGCAGTAATTTTATCTGACGGAAGAAGAGGCAGCTGTGTGTTAATGTGTGTTGACAAAGGCATTAATATTCCTGTCAATCTGGTTCTACTGTGAAAGAAGATGCTCCATCTGTCACTGTAATGGGGAGCGCCATGCAGGAAGTAACTGTCTAACAACAATCCGACCTCATCCAGTAAATATGACACAATGTGACTTGGTTTTTTTTAAACTCTTTACAACAATGCTGGTTGAAAAGTTGGTTGGTTTTTCACTTTAGGTAAGAATAGCACCTCTGCTGCTTTAGAAAACAGTTCAAAAAATGTCCTTAGTTATTGAAACAGTCACTTTTTGGAGATTCAAGTTTTTAACCAAACATAAGCAGTCTACCAAGAACAGGCCCATGACCTTTTTCTTTCAAAGTTGAATGAACTCTAATTTAACAGATATGAGCCAAACATCACAGGCCAATCCAACAATGTCTAGGGAGATCATACATTACGTTTTTAAATGTGAGTCAGAGCATGACCCAACCTTATAAATGAACAGACAAAATTGTCATGGTTAACAAAGCACATGATGTCTAATGGTTACATTTCCAGTGTCTCCTATCTAAATCACCCTCCACACACAATATTTACAAGACTGATATGGCAGGGTTTACTCTGCAAACACTGGGTAAGTCAAACCCTGGATGTCGTCATTACCTGGTTTATAAATAGTTTATACATAAGAATTCGAAACTGAACCAAAGAGTGGGAATTCATTTTAGTTTGTGAAAACTTTTGTCTACTCTGACATAGCTTCTTCATGGCCCCTTTACAGCTGAGCAAATAGACAACATACGAGTCCGTGCGAGGCTACTGCCACCGATGACAGCTAACTGGATACTACTTCTACACTGTTCTGGTAATTCCCTTTTTACACAACAAGCACATTTACAATAGCAATAAATGTATGTGCTCGTGCGTCTGAGTGTGTCATTAAGTGCACACTGGCACTGTAATCAGAGGACATGTGGGTCATTCTGTGGCTCGGCTGCGTTGTTTGCGTTTGAGGCTCTACGTGACTCTGCTGACTTCCTATCGCTCCTCATTCACAAAAATCACACACACACACACACACACACACACACACACACACACACACACACACACACACACACACACACACACACACACACACACACACACACACACACACACACACACACACACACACACACACACACACACACACACGAATTTATGAGCACATGCGCGTGCAAACAGCGATGCAACACGCTTGTGCAGATGCACACACTCACACATATGCGAGTGTCCTCCTGTCCAAAAACAAAGAAAGCCCATTCACTCTTAGTGCAGGCTGCTGGCTGAGTTGCCTGCTGAATAATCTGTTCTGGAAAAACATACCACAAACAGACACTAGTCCACGCAGAGTCAATAGGATTTCAATCATGGTCAGTCCATAAACCTCCAGAAGCAGCAGAGTGACAATGAGCCGCATAGAAACTTCCATTCACACTGGTGAATACTGAACTGTGCCCACACAAAGGGCAGTGTTGGTCCTGATGAATTGAAAATGTTGCATATTTTGCTTCAGAAAGGCTTGGTGTCTAATGATAAAATGGTCTCTCTCTTCTCTCCCTTCAGCTTCCTCACTTCCCTCCCACACTGGGATTGTCAGGCTGAGCACAAATTTGGTCACTGTTTAGTCATCTACGAGTTACTGGAATTCTCCTCTTTTAGGACAATAAACCCATTGGAATATGTCAAAAATAATGTTTTTAAGGTGTGATGACATTTGACTTTTTGGTTGAGGTGTTTTAATGAACTGAAAAGTTTTTTTGTCAATAATAAAATAAAGTCATATTCACCACAATTGAAATTAAATAACCTTGTGTTTAAGAACATTAACTAGTATCATGTTCCGTATCCTGCCCAAAAACAAAGTGTAGTGCAAGACTAATGGAAGACAGGCTATCCTCTGTTGCAGATGGTTAACACCCACATCCCAAAACACAACACAATGCAGTTTCAGTTCCTCTGTGGGTGCCGAGAAATAGTTTTTCCAAGGAGGGGTTTTCCTACAGAGGCAGGGAGCTGTCTATCCTTTACTCCTTGTGTGTTTCAGCAGAAAGATTGTTGATGATGTTTATATCCCAGGTTAATTAATCTATTCCGAATCAACAAACCATTACGTAAAGATATTTCCATGATGGTACTTTAAAATAAGAATATTCATGCAGGACAGATCAGGATGCTTAGTAGGTACTCAGGTTTTATGTTGACTTACCCTTGCGGAGATGCTCTCCTTGTGGATCGACATGTCCATGCTCTCTGATGCCATGCTGCCTGAGTATGAGTACCGTTTGTTGAAAATTCCTCCATTGATATAAGGCGAGACATTCTCAGTGTTTCCTCCTGTCGATGTCTGCTCTGGGGTGCCTTTGGTTAGGTTGCCATTTGACTCAGAACGGGGTGTCGGTACCGGGGTAGGAGCAGAAGAGTGAGCAGGAGTGGGTGTAGGAGTGGCAGTGGGACTTGAGCTTGGAGTTGATAAGCCTCCGTTAGCCACAACGGGGCTCTCCTCTTCTGTCACCTGGATCTTGGGCACCTCTGGGTCTGTTGAGTCTATGATGATGTCAACATGTTCCTCAGATGCCTCTGGCTGGGGGAGAGACGGTGGCTGTTCGGTTTCCGGGGTCTCCACAGGAACCTTAAAATGGATTTTAGTATTATTACTTACAAATCTTTGAATAGACCACAGTCAATACTTTAGGATTATCCATCAGTAGACACAGTAGTATTTCATTTTCTAAATCTAAAACAAAGAGCACCTTCTCCTCCTCAGATGTGGGGGTACTCTTCCCATCTTCAATGCCTGAATCCGAGCTAGAAGTCTTGGTTGAGCCCTCGCTCTCAGACTTCTCTGACTCATGAGTGACTTCATCACCCAGTTTGACGCCCAACTCCTCTGGATCTTTTGGAGGGAGATTCTGCCGTGGTAGGGGGACAGGGACAACCATGATGGAGCCTGGCTGCTCCTCGGTTTCTGACTCGGGCCCCTTCCTGGGTAAAGGTATTGGTGTGGTTGGGGAGGGTGTGGTGGGGCTTGGGGTGTCCAGAGACTGGTCTCCTTCCAAACTGGTCTGACTGGTCTGACATGGCTCCTTGCCTGGAGACTTAGGGAATAAGGAGGAGGGAGAAGAGAAGTATTGTTATGCATCGATTTGACAAAACATTTGATGTTTTTAGGCCTGAAGTCAATGGTGCTCACCAAAATGTAAAAATCCTACTATAATTTACACTTTAAAAAGGAACAACAGTATGTTTCCATTCTGCATAATGTGCTCCAGTTGAACAGGTAATTGGCCATTTAGCCTCCAAACATAAGACTCAAAATTGAATGTTTTCAACCTTGTTTTAACAAAAGCTACAGTCCGTCTGGCATCCCACCTTCAGTGTAGTAACCTTAACCTTAGCTTTAGGAATGCAGTCATTCCTGCTTAGATTCCTCCACTACTTCTCACTGTGGCTGAGACGGCTATCTGATCTGTAATAAGTATATTAGTAATTACAGGGGTGAACAGCCTAAGTAAATCATGGCTGACAACCAGGAACAAAGAGTTCTTAATGGCATTATTACCAAGAATTATGTGTGTCGATGAGCACTTGGCAAAAGATTTGTCCCTATGGTTTGTGTGTTCAGATTTTTTTTTTTAAAAACAGAAACTAAAACAGGGTATCTGGGAGGTTCACCAAGTCCAATTTGACTTTTTTAATACCACATAGAATTCAATTTAATACCTGTTTCACGGTCATATTGGCCAAAGTATGAAAGATATCTATATGAAAACCAGAAGGGAAAATACAAACTTTTAAAATCCATTTACAGAAGTTGAAGACATGTGTATGAAGACATAGGAATTCCAGGGTCTGTAATTATAAACACCACTTAAGAGGCCAAAATGATGTGCACAGCTATCTGTCAAGCAATTCTGCTTCCTGAAATACCTCTCTGTTGTCTTCCACTAGAGGTAAACAATACTATCGGACATCTTTACGGTCAGGTTCAGCCTTTCTAATGTCTCAGCAAACAACTCTGTCTGGCTGTGTATGATATATAGGAAGACATAAACGGTCAGGAAACTGCTTGGCTGGCTTTCAGGGCCTTGCAACTGGTGGTGTCAAAATATTGCTGTATGCGTACATGAGTGCCCTTGCTGGAACAGATGGGGAAACAACTGTAATGGTATAGTAAACTACTTGGAAAATGGGTGTGGTCCATGCAAGGGCGCCAGAATTAGGGAGGGGGCCATTGTTCCTCCCACTTTACACCCCTGGTCCACAAGATGGTAGAGACCATCTTGTGATGGGGTCACACCACCACGCTTGTCAAGATGTCAATTTTCGGGTCAGACCACACCCTCCGTCAAAAGCTACTCTAGCGGGAACTATCCCTGAGCCATTTTTTTTAGTACTTTGGCAGGTGCTTATACGACATACAACGTCTGATTTACAAGATGTTTGGAAAGTGCAAAACACAGAAGCAATGGCTGCTTAGCCAAGTTTCAAATTGCACTGGAGCCAAGTTATTCACTTCAATAAATTCGGAAGTCATCGCAGCAACTGTTGACATTAGGGGAGGAAGAGATAAGTGGGCAAACATTCATCTCCACAGAGAGAAAAACATCCATGTTCAACACATGATAAACACATTTGACTAATCACAGCTTCCTGTTAGCTAGAGTATTTCTAGGGTCTTCTGTCGCCGTGGGTCACTGGTGTACAGTAAACCATCTGTCTTTAGTTAAGGGTCACAGAACAATGCGCAACCTTAAATAATTTACTCCATCAGGGGTTGTGAGATGACAGCGTTTGTACTATACACGAGTGAGGCTGAAGGCAGGAACTATATTTAACCATGTGTGGGTGAATGCCAGGATTACGGTTTCTGTGCCTTTGTTTGTGCCGAGGGCAGACGGTAAACTGCATTTATATAATGTGACTTTCTAATCATATGCCCTCTATGGATTTCTGAATGGCTTCTGCCTAATGGCCCTCGATTCCTTTGGCAGGAAGGCCATGTTTACAGAAAAAATGCTGTTCAAAGGGGTCAACAAGCAAAGACTTCAAAAGTAAAGGAAGTGGACAGTTAGGGCAGAATGTGTGTGCTTTTCAGGACAAGGGTGCATGTACAGGTGAGTGAATGCCTTTGTGTGATTATGTGCATGAGTTTGAAATTAATTACATTGTGTGGTGACACCAAAACAAAGGTGGTATTCTAATTCTAACATGTCTGATATTTTTTTTTTAATAGAAGGTCACAACATTTACTGTTCCATTATTACATGCCATTATTGACCTTGTAAGTCCAAATCACATGTATTCTTACAACCCAACAGCTTAAAGCCACCAGACCTTTAAAAAAAGAAAAAAAAAAGCTACTGGAAGGACATGGACTGCCCACTCTCCTTTTGGAAACAAACAAAGTGAAAGGACAGAAAGAACAAAAGTTTAGTACCACAGTGAGCTCCATGGCGTCGTCCTCCTCTCCTTCCTCTCTATTGTCCTCTATTTCCTCCATGACCTCAGCCTTGGCCTCGGCCACCAGCTCCCGCAGTGGGCGGTTAGAAGTCACCGATCTCACAAAAGGGTGCTGTGGACACATGGGACAAATTATCAGTCAAAATGCAAAATGCAATGAGTGACAGGTGCTTAACTAGCAAATCAGTTTTATAATAACTTATTGTTTTTTTCCCCTTGTATTTCATTTTATGCATCATATTCTGAGCATAAATTAGCTTGTAAATACCACCATAAATATCCATGCAAAGCATTTGGCCGTTGCCTGCACACAAAGACGAAGAGAGACTAAAAGGATTTATGTGACCACAGAACAAACACCCTTACAACCACAAAACAACATTTGCTGGAAGGAAAGACAACCCATTATCCATGGATCTGAGTATCATTAGGTCATGAGACTATTGCTCGGGAGATACTGCAAGTACTGGACCAATGATAACAAAGTGGGGAAAAAATCTGATACATGTTGGTACCTTACTAGACTCACATTAGCTGTAAAGGTCTAAAGTGACACAAAACAATTAGTAGGTGTGAAAGCCATCAATTAACAGGACAAAAGATATTCTAAATGTTTAACTACTCTACATACTAATTACTGTTGAAAGAGACAACGAGAGATGAAGGTAGGCTACTGAATTAAACAAAGTGGTGAAAAATAAAGTAATTGCTGTAATTACATTAGCTTGGCAAATTTGGCTGTGAGACGCAACATGCATAAGATTCTAGAGAGGACTTTCACCACAGGGGAAACTCTATCTACCACCTGCCAGTTCCTGAACAGCTACAACAATAGCGGCTCGACAATACTAACTCTCCCCTTAATGGCACACTGATGTAACAGTGTTCAATCTAACAATGTCCTTAAAATAGCAAGCTGTGTTTATTTCTACAACTACTAAAGAGAAATTGTGTGTTTTGCCAGGGTGCAAACAAGGCAGTGATAAGTTCAGTGGAAGGATAATAAAACCTAAATTCAAAGTTGAGTGCAGCTGGGATACAAGGCGAATCATCTATTATTCAAATGCGTTGCACTGCTGTGTAATTTAATTGGAACAGCTGACAAAAGGGAAAAGGCTACAAGTGGTGCTGGACCATGAAGTGTGTATAAGTCAGGGTTTTTGTGTGTGTGTGTGTGTGTGTGTGTGTGTGTGTGTGTGTGTGTGTGTGTGTGTGTGTGTGTGTGTGTGTGTGTGTGTGTGTGTGTGTGCATCGTGGGTGATCACAGTTGTTTGTGTACAGAAGCTTGTCCTCGAGGACTGCATTAGGCTGCAGCTTTTAACTTCTCCGATGACTAACAACAGTCAGCTAATGTCTAATGTAGTGTAAATGCTGAGTGCCATCTAACTATTTTTTACACTGCAGTGGAAATAATGGAGTATGCACATTACACATGTTATTGTTCACAGCCATCGTCAAATTAAGATACCAAGGGTCTTAATATTAACCTATACCGTCTACATTGAGACGTCTTGTTTTTGTCCATGCTTTCCCATCTTAGGGCATCAAAGAGTGAGCGCTACAGTTGTACATACAACTAGTGTATCCTTCTCTTCACCTGTCCGACAGTTTTGGGGCAAGATTTACATTTTTAATTAATCAAATATGTTGCATATGGCATACAATATTACCAAAAATAAGTGTGTGTTTTGAATTCAAGCATATAAAAGGATGTCCTGCAGAACATGACATAATCACAGCAAAAACAGCCTGGAACTGGAATTTAAAGATTTATTTCATACTGATCAATCACCACAATAATGGTTGGAAAATGATTGAAGCCTAGAAGACGGTGTGACATTTGAGCAAGGGTTTCAGTTGGTACATGCATTCGGAGGCGAAAGTAAATAAATAACCGAGTTCCTGTGAACAGGCCATTTACTCTCTAACTATCTCAACAGGAAAAGGGCGTCTTTATGGACATTGTTAGGTTTCTTAGGTTCTTTAGGTCTAACAAAATCAAGTAGAACCACTAGAACCATTGAACAAGAAAAAAGACAAGTCCAGCTGGACCTGTTGAGCTCAACTGGCATAACACCAACATTTTCAATAACTCCCTCCTTGAGTCTACAGTACCACAGTGCTTCAAGGACTCAGCCAGAACCCCTGTGCCAAAATCAACCAAGATAACTGAGCCAACTCTTCTGTTGAGGATGCTTTTAACTTGGTCCTCCACCACACACACTACAACACTTAAGAGTCAACCAACACCTACTCCCAGATCCTGTTCAGTGACTTCAATAAACAGTTGGGCATGAATACTGACCTCTGCGTATGCCACAGGATCTGGAGCTTCCTGTGGAGAAGGCAACAGAAGGTTAAGATGAATAGCTTTTCATCTCACCCTCTGACCATCAACACAGGCGCCCTTTCAGGGTTGGGTCCCCTCACACTGGCTCTTGTCCCTTTATCAAAATCACTTCACATCCCACCACAGCTCAGTCACCAGTCTTAAATATGCAGAAGACACAACCATAATTGGACTGATAAGCAGCAACATAATGGACTGACACCGTGAGCAGGTAGCCAAGGCATTCACTTGATGCCTTGATAACAACCTCCAGCTCAACTCATGATAGATTTCGGACACTACCCAAAACCCTCACACACATCTCAGGAAAACCCATAACCATCACAGACTCAGATTTCTTGGCAGACACATCAGCAACACACTCAAATGGCACACCAATACAGACTACATCACCAGAACAGCCCAGTTCAAAAAATCCCAAGTAAAACAAAGCCTACTCCTTCAGTTTTACACATCCATCACTGAGAGCATACTCACGTCACATATAACAGTTCGGTACAACAGCACGGACAGTCACGCAAAAAACTGCAGCACATCAGTTGAATCACTATTAACGCACAATTCCTCCATCCCTATCACCCTGCTCACAACCTCTTCCAGCTGATGCCCTCTATTAAATGTCCCTGCCCACCAAATCATCCCATTATAAAAAGAGTTTTTATCCACTGCAATAAGGACTCTGAAGACTTCTTACTAACTCTGGCAGATGTTCCTGCATGTAAAAACACCTGTTTGAATTGTGGAAATAAATAACTATCGTGTGTTGCAGCTCAAGAAGAAAATGAGGAAGACACCAGCATCAAGCTTTGTGAAGCTGGTCAATAGACACCGATGCAAGAGCCAAAGTAGGGTGAGTACTAAAAATCAATTATTTGACTACTCATTCCAGCTTTAGTACTTATACTTTATTCAACATAAAAAGGCTAGAATGGTAATAAGTTCCACTGCTGATCTAAGCCTACACTGTTAAGCAAAGGTAATTATTGGAGTCAAAACAAAATGTTATCCATGCATCTCTTTTTCTTTCCCTTTAGACACCAATAGAAAATCACCTACAGTATTAAACATCTGAGATTTCAGCTTCACGCTGTTTATTCTAGCAAGTGAACTCAGGCCTTCCATGTTCAAGCTAAACCCAGTTCCTTGATGCATATCAAAGGGAAAAAGGAAAACAGTGTAGTATTGCTGCCGTGTTAAATCTAGCTATGTTTTTTTTACTGCCATAATGGATTAAGATGTGGATCAGTGGAGCTTATGTCCTCTCTTTTAGGTTTCATGTTGCTTTAGACCCAGTGAGGCTGGTGGTTTTTTAGGTCTTACACGCATGGCTGGGCGGGAAAAGGTTAAATGTGAACAATATGGCCCATTAGGGGACCAGAGCAGACGCTGCATGAGAGTTACCTGTGTAGCGAGACAGTGTGTGTATTTGTACTTCTGTTTTTGTGACGATAAATTTTAGTTTTAGACCTCGAGTGAGGACATTTTGGGAAGGTGAGGGCATTTTGGTCAGTCCTCACTTCTTCAAAGGGTGGTTCGGAGGTTTCAGACTTGTTTTTAGGGTTAAGGTTATAATTAGGTTTAGGTTAAGTTCGGATGAAGCAAGTAGTAATTTTGGTCAACATAAATAAAACTTACTTGACTTTTATTTGCCCAAATTTTGAAATATCAGTCCAAGATTTCTGCCTCAGTTGTCATGCTCAAAGCACTGCAAAGTTAATTTTTTTTCAAATACATTGTTTCCAGTAAAAAAGACCACATGAACCACAGACCTCACAGGAACTTTTCTTTACTGAAAAATAGATCCTATTAAATCTTCACAGCTTGTTTTGTGGTTTATCAAGAAAAACAGGTATCTATTTCTAAAAAGAGATGTTATTGCCTTTTAAGAATGTAATTCTTTAATTCTTTCAGCACCAGAACATTTCATTCACCTCGATCATATTGGGGACATGGTAAAAAAAAATGGTAAGGATGAACATCTCAAAACCTAGATTATTAAACTGGAACAGGGGTTTCCATGATTTACCTCCCCCTTCAAAATAAAACTGAGATAATTGTGCCATTAAAAGTATGTCGAATTAACCATTCGCAGTTTTCAACATAACCATGGATGTATGGACAGCTATCACAGGATTACTATAATACTGCAGAAAACTTAAAAATGCGGTGATTCTCAGGCAAGTTCTGGAGTTTTAGTAATATACACTGGAGATAATGATATCCTCAAAAAAGTGTAAGTCACTAAAAATAAGTGATTTGTGTGTCACACTGTTGACCATGTTGGTGAGCGGCAAATTGGCAGACCAAACTACAATTACTAAATTCCTGTTTTTAGATCATCATCATGTACTTGTCCATTTCACCGCAATATCTTATTCTACTAGATGAAAAAGTTAATTCCATTCAGCCTATAGTCTAATAAGACTGCTAGCCTTTAGGACACAGTTAAAGACATTTCTCATTTTATTTTTAACCTTATGGCAAGATGTTTCTTTAGTTGTATCTACTCATAGGTTTGTTTTTCTGTTTTCTTTTTCTCATTATTTTATAATAATAATGCCATTTTTTACATTTTATTTTGATAAAACAGGAAAGGACTGAATAAACCTTCAAGGCTCCCTTCCTTTCCTACACTACAATTACTGTCTTCTATATGTATTTTGCTTTGTATTATTATTGCAAATAAAACTATTATAGTCACTTACACCCTCCATGACCCCACTACAACTCCTGGGCACCCACCTGGGGAGCTATGCCTCAACGTTTGGACACCTTTGAAATTTGGGTGAACTAACTCTTTAATCTCAGAATTAAGTTTAGAGTAAGGGTTGGGCTTAGGCGTACAACTGGGATACAGTTATGGTTCACGGCTAAGGAATGCATGATGTCAATGAGGGTTCTCACAAATAAAAGTATGAATACGTGTGTGTGTTGGTGCCTGCACACGTCAATATTGCGAAACCACTTCAAAATCCTGACTCAGAGATAAAATAGCCAAATACTCCCATGGCAAAATTACCCAATATGCAGACACACCACAATACAAATCACAAAAAACATGAAATATTACACATGAATTGAAGTTACAGCGAAAACACTGTAAAAATCCTGACCATGAGAAACTATGTGGGAGGAGAAGCTATATTCAGTACAATGAATACAAGTCAACCAGATGGTCCCCAGGCAGCCAGAGTGACTGATACTGTGTCATGTTGTTTTGTATACATTCTTTACAAGCACACATGTGGGACAGATACAAGGCGAGAGGTTCAAACATGTTTTAAACTAAGACAACCTTGGAAAATGCATGATGACAAAGAGTTTATGAAGCTCTGTCCTTTCATTTCCTCTTTTGATACAGTCACATACAACTCATACAGTTTAGCACCTACAGATACTTTTGTTTATGATTCACTATTATCTTCCTCTTCACTTACCGCATCCGTTTTCTACATCCATTCACTCCTATGAATAAAATGCATTACAAAGTCTGACCTAAAATATGTCACATACATGATGGTAACTTCCTGTAAACTGACATCAATCAACATTCACTGCACAGCTGAATTTAATGCCATCATTGCACAGCCATTTTTCAGTAAATCTGACAGCCGTTAAGGAGCAGCAGGCATGATAAACATCTAAAACTTCCCGCACGGCACCAAAAACTGGACCGCGCCCGTCTCTTTTCCCCCCCCACTGGAGAGCACATGCAGAATTCCCAGCGGGCCTGAGTCTAGGAGTTTCATCTCTGCCTCTCTCTAATTGGCCAGAGGTGGGGAGCTCATGGTAATCCAGACATACTATTGGCTGAGGGTGGGAATGTAAATAGTTGGCATTCCCTCAGCTGTGGGATACAGACAGGAAACTGTGGCTATGAATTTTAATAGACGCTGTGCTCGTGCTTTAATCCACACCCTGTTTAACTTTTTCTCTCATTTTTCTTGCTCGGGATTCAGGAGTTTGAGGAACATCTGTCAAAGCTCATCCTCAGATATTATTGTTTTACTGCCAGAAAATTTGTCATCAGCCTCTCCTTAGCAATATCCTAGCTGTGCCGAAGTGCACTTACTGTACATTTGAGTGGTCCTTTCTAACCAGTGTCACTAGACTTAAAGTATGTGCATATATGGTTGAAAAAACAAAGGGGATTATAATAAGAAACAAGAGGTACAACTATGTGATAATCCAACAAAAATGGGAACAAAAACATCCATTGTCCTTCAAAATAAAATGTCTGTGCCTCAAAAGTGGAAAATTGCTTCTAATAAAAAAAAATTCTAAGTCACCTTTCTTCACTCTTTTTAGCTTTGTTTTCTCATTTTCTTTTAAGTTATTCACTTTTTTACTCTATCCCACTCCTTCTCTGCCTGCTCCATTTCTAGCCCACTCTTATACACATTCTATTCCTCTCCCACTCAAATGCCAGTGCCCTCTATGGGGCTCACTTCCCTAGCATAGATCACTCCATTCAGGTCCTAAAATAGAAGATTATGTGTGTCGATGCAAGATAAGGACAGGGCGAGGACAATGTTCCAGCATATATCAAAGTGCAGCATTGTATAACATTTGCTAGGTTATAATTGCACATTGTACATCAGTGCCCACCTCCATAAGTTGTGCCGCAGTCGGACGAGTCTCCGGGTTTTTATCCAAAGCTTTCTTCAGGAAATCTTTAAAATCCTTCGACCTTGGGTGAACCAGAGAAAACAGCATTAACCACAAAACAAGAGGTATAGAGAAAGGGGAGAGGGAGGGGTGAAGGGATCGTTACAACACAACAAATCATCTCAACACAACATTTCCAGATATGTGATGTTGGCACACGTGGATTATCTTTGTGCACAGCTGTGCTTCGTAAAACAAAGCTTTCAACAAGGATGATGAGTCAGCTCTGCATCTCAAATCTCTTTTCAGCACCTGATAACTTCACTTTTGCTGTACTAAATCTGCTGTAATGGAACATTCGGACTCATAAAATTGATAAGGGAAAAGTTAGAGTTTGGCACTTGCTGAAGTCCTGCAGGCAAAATGGACTGCGGGCGGAGAGGGGGAGGACAATGTGATGCATTGAGTCTCTGCAGTAGATTACAGGATACTGAGTGTGCAAAAATTTGGTAATAGAATGAAATTAAATGACCTGGTGAAATCTAGACAGGAAGATATAATACCCTGTTGACTGCACCAATCATATCCTATGCTAAAACTAGTGAATCATGGATTTTGCAAAAGAGCTGTGCATACTAGGTTTTGTAATGTACAACAGCTGATTCATTTTGAATGCATCCTCACCATTTGTGCGGCTGCTCCAGGGTGGGAGGCTCCGACTTGGCGATCTTCAACAACACCCTCATGGGGTTGAGCTCGTGGTGTGGGGGTTCAATCTGGGCGAGCTCGATCAGAGTGATTCCAAGAGACCAGATATCAGCCTTGTAGTCATACGGCGCATCCTTCATGGTCTCACACATGACGACCTCTGGGGCCATCCTGAGAAAACAAAAGTGAAATATTTATTTATAGGGAACCATTACATAGTGAGGGACACTGAATCTACAGTTAAGCCTAATTGCTAACAAGTAAAGACATACTGCACAAATAATAACATTTATGCTTAAACAAAAGAGTTAAACTGTAGGGTGGAGAGTTTTCTCCCTGCTCATGCCATTTGGTATATAATTAACTTTTTGTCTAAATGTAAGAATGTATGGAACATGCATTACATAACCCATATGCGATAACCAGTTGCGGATTATATGACCATGTGTAGCGAATGTGAACAAATAAAAAACAAACTGTTCTTGCCAAATCAACACTAAGAGAAATCAGTCCTACCATGATTCTGATATCATAAAGATATCCCACTAGTATTTACAACAGTTATCCCTGAGCAGTGGTAGGAAATGACTAACTGATGATTACTGCAGTGGGATAAGGAGGGTTTCTCCTCTCTCTTATTTACGATTTTGCATGTGTCAACACCAAGCACACGTCTTCAGTCAGCCCATGTTTGCAGACAATCTGCAAAATGGCTCTCATAACCCAAAGAAACAAATGTTTGCTCCCTCTTTCTTGTTGACTTTGCTTATCAGTGCATTCAGGGGAAGTGGTATACAAAAAAAAAACCTGCAATATTTTTTTCAGGACTAATTGGTATTGTGCAACATAAGGACATGGTCATGTTTCTTGAGCAGGGAGGGTATTCCTGATGGGTGATAACCTTTTCTAGTCAATGGTTAACTGGCTCCAACCATAATTGCACAAGGATAACAGTATGGAACAAGGTTCAATGTGAATGAGATTTCAAAAGGAATCTTTCCAATTTGTTCAGGTATAGGGGAGAGAACTGCACTGTTGGATGCAATGGAGGATTAAAGCATAGCAGCAGTTGAGTGTGTGTATACACAATATCATGCTCTTTCAAGTATTATGGAAGAGTTGCGGCGAGCAGGAAATTTGTTCTCAACAAGCAATAATCCCCCGCTTACATAACTCATGTAGAGATGCTTGGTATGTCTACAGATAGAGGTTTTTCTGTATGGTTTATACCAGGGAAAACATCCTTTTAAAAGCTAAGCTTGTAATAGTATATTGTCAACAATGTTTAATGCATTATAAGGTTTGCATCAATGTAATGAAAAACCTTGAATTGCCAGGCCTTTATTTCACTGTATTAAGCAAAACAGAATCTGGAAATTTCTTTATATGTAAATATCAATAAAATTTATTGAAAACAAAAATCTGAAGCTTTAATCCATATGACCCATCCCTAAGCTCATACATAGCTCTCTTCCTTCACGGTGCCCTGATGAAGAGTGAGGTCTTACTCACCAGTAGGGTGTCCCAATGAAAGAATCTCTTCTTTGTAAGGTTTTGTTGTTTTTTGCAGATACACCGAAATCCGCTACAAGAATGAAGAGAGACAGAACACAGAAAAAAAGAGAGTGATGACGTGAGATAGTTGAAAGAAGATACCCAGCAGCACTTCTCAGTAAGACGAAGTGAAGTCCCCCCCCCCATCCCCCCTTCCATCCTTGTAGTAACTTGTAAAGCTGTCATGACACTGCGATGGGCAGAGACACAAAGCCAGAATTTATAGTAGTCCTGTCTCCCAAACCAGCTGCCCCCATTTCCCTAACATGACCCTCAGATTACAGGGGTGTTGTTTTCACTTTGGCTGAATACGTTTTTCAGGGCAAGTAAGAATATTACGTGTGTCCCAGGGCTGAGAAGTGTTTGGCAGAGGCTTAAGGAATTTACTTACAAGGCAGCAGGCTGACTGCTTCAATTACAAACTGGCATGTTCTATTATGGGGACTGAACTGTCTTGGTTTTGCAGACTACAATTCAAATATATTTGACTTCCCAGTGAAACATATCATTTTGACTATTGCAGTCTAAACTTTTGCAGAAAGAATCTTTAAAAGACAATAAATACTACTTCAGCTGTTTATTGTACATAAAATAAGAGTTTTACACATGGATATCCCAGAGGATGGTAATGTATTCTGGTGAAATCATACGAATAGGGCATGACGGTGTAAAGCCAGACACCAAATATACTTGTAAAATCTGTGGCATCAAGTACATCACACCAAGGTGTGTCTCTCAAGAAGCATTATTAGGATTATACGCAAATATTTCTACCTTAACACACCTAAAGGCTCCCATAATGCACTACTCCACGAGGAACTAAATGAGTGCACAAAAACAGGTGTTTCAGAGGGGAATCTCAAAACAATAATAGTATTAACTGGGATTCAAGGTTTAAATTTGTGAATAAATAAGTGGAAAAATACAGATTGTGTATTAACTTATGAATGCAAACAACAATACTATGTTGCCTGTTCTGTACTGATGTTTGCATGCAGCTCTTAAAATTGCAACATAATGTTAAATGCCATGTATCATAGGTGGATATAAGGCATCTGGCTGGCCTCAGTGACGGCTAATTGTTGCCTTTCTTTGAATTAATAAGTAGTTACATAAGTTTAGAGACTGTAAATGAGTCAGTGTCATGACTTAATGAGTTTAAAAGCGGCAACTCCCAGTGATTATATGTAACTGTGGCGTCTTAGGGGAGAATGTAAGGCAATGGAACTTTAGCAAGAAGTCCAGCTCAGTGAGCCAAATGTGTGATTAGAAATGTAGCAATCAACTCCATTTAAACAAATGTGCAGCACACAGATATGAAGCTATATGTAGCTTGCAGTTGCTCTCTATTCAGCATGTTTGGTTGGTTGTTCACGACTGAGTGCAAAATGACACAGAGCCACAGAGAGTAAAGGAAATAAAACATTGTTTATGCAAAACAGATATTTTGGTTTTTGTTTAAAGTTTTATGTCTCAGGATCCAAAATGTCTGGCAGCCATTCAGGAAAAAAAACAAAAAAAACAAAACAGCACTTCCTTTACTGACACATAAAGCATGTTAAAGTCAACATTTTTCCTTTTCTGGAAACTATGCTTTAACCCAAAACATACTGCTGATTCGGGTGGATCCATAACATCCATCAGCTGTGCAATGTGAAGAATGTGAGAACTCTTCAAAAAACCCAATAAATCAAAATATGCAAAAATTCAGAGAATGCCGTTTTCCCACACAGCGTTCACTTATGATTCTCCTACAGCGCCACAGGAGGGGTACAGGGCCTCTTACTGTGTGTGTTTGTGTGACAGCAAAAGCCAAAGAAACAACGGTCCAGAAATGTGCAAAGGAAATGCGGGGTTTATCTGAGAATTTGGCTCCACTTGTATCATTTTGGCAGTGAAATGGTTTTCTTTGTGAAGGATGGAACGTAAAGAGAGACAGGTTACTCACAAATTTGATCCAAATCCAATCAATGAGTTGCAAAAATGTCGTAGTAGTTCATACATTCAGTGCATGTTTTGTATTTCTTCTCTTCATACATCATATTTATTTCTAATAGTAGATTGGTTGATTGATCAAATTTAAAAAGCATCACTTCTCGTGTGACAGGACGTTTCTGTAATACCCCATGTTTTTTTCAACCCTGTTCTTTGAACAACAAATACGGACTCTTGTCTTTTGTCAGAAACTTCAAAAGAATGTGTGTCTGGATTTAGCCACCATAACTTGTTAAATCTGTTGGGAGGTCAAACACATGCAAATGCATGTTGTAGAGCCAAGCACTGCTTAAACCCAGAATACTTCATTTCAACTGCCTGTCAGGATTCCAAGAATTCTCAAGATGAGGATTCAATTGTGCACAACCCAACTGAGATTTCCAACAACTAAAACACAACAAAATGTTTGCATTGTCTGCACAAATACAAATACAAGAAGGGAAATATTGTGGCCCTGGAATTTTTTTAAATGAGATTACCCTCAGAACACACCGTATTGCATTTCAGACTGTGTAGTTATGTGAGCATGGACACAATGGCACACCGTGATGCCAACATAGTCATAGTACATCGTATAAATATCTAAACCCTCACCCAGTTTGATGTCCCCATCCAACATGAGGAGGATGTTACCGGCCTTCAGGTCTCTGTGGATGATCTTCATGCTGTGGAGGTAGACCAGAGCTTCCAGCATCTGGCGACAAACCACCTTAATCTGCGGCTCTGTCAGACCACGATCCAACTCTGATAAGGGCAGGGGAGGAGGAGGCAGGGGATGGAGAGGTTAAATATTTGGTAGGAGAGGGGTGAGAACAGGAGCAGAATGGAAGTGAGAGTTGAGAAAACTAGCAGAGAGGGTTCAAAACCCATTATGCACACCTTGCACATTCCATATTCGATGTATATACAAGTCTTAAGGACTGATCTAGTGTGTGAACTCAGAAAAAGGTAAACCTGTGATGATATCAATGAGTACCCTCAGATAGTGTTGCTGGATAAGTAATCCCAGATCAGAAAAGCTTTCACACATATAAGCTGGTCCTGCCCTGCAGACTTTATTCTACTGTGTCTGTGTTTGGTTAGCTGCAGTGGGGGTACAGACAGTTATGAGGATGTGGATTACCCAGTAAAAACAGACCAGGGGGGTTTCCCACACCGGAGGACTCCAGTATGTCTAGAGCATTCAAGGCCAGACTAGTGAAGTCGCAGCACACGATCACGTTCAAATGGTCAGTATTGTGACAAATGCTGGTTTTCTAGATTGTTTCTATACAAAAGCTTAAAAAAGGATAGCATTTTTGACCTTTTAGCAGGTCTCTACACTTTCTTTAAGTCACTGCTGAAGCGGCAGGTGGAGTCACAGCACTGCCGCAGGTGTGGTGCTTGACTCTCGTGACAGGGAGGAAGGTGGAGCGCTTATAAAAATACACAGAGAGCAAAAAGAGAGAGGGAGAAAGGCCTACCTAGCATTGTGGCATCCACAGCACCTCCAGGGCAGAACTCGATCATGATCTGGGGAAAGAAGGGGAAGGGAAGAAGGGGTGAGGTTTAAATGAATATACATTGCAAACACACAATTGACAGATGTAATCTCCCCTTTTCAGGAATTTATATGGAGAAACAGGAAGAACAGATCACTTTTCATCAGCAGCACACGCACAACTAGTGTTTACACATGGGCATCTTTTCAAATACTGTTAATAAACTGTATTTCATTCTCTGACTAGAGACATTCAGCATCATTAAGATTTGGCACTTGAACTTGAGTAATTTAGGAAAACCTTACATGAAGTGTGGCAGTAAAATTAGTAAATTAATAACCCTCCACCAATGACAAATAGTACAAAAGGTAAAAAATAACAAGCAAATTGGCAACATTCCCAGTCAGTGCTATTCGCACTATTTTATCATTAGCCAAATGCATGGATTGCATGGATCTAAGGGTGCGTAAATCTTGGGACACACTGAGGCTTCCAGCACCCTAGCAAGGATTTAGAAAGGGTGGAGCAGTTGTCTTCCTGCATGTCAACAGCCAAAAGAAAAAAGAAAAGAAGATAAGATGTGTTTTATGAGAAGATCTGATAAAAAAAATTTTTTTAAAAGACTCCCAGCTGACTGTGAAAGTCAACACTGCCTCTCAGCAGTAAACCCTGACCCACTGCTAATATTTTCTTATAATATGTGTAATATATTCTTATAACACCAGCAGAGTTTGACATGTAATTGCTTTGGGCAACTGTAAATTCACTCTGGCTGTAAATCAGTGGAGCATATTTTGCATATTAGTTATTCAGAATAAAGAGTAGTGACAAAGAGAGTGAGTTCCAAGTGTTTGAATTTGAATTCTTGTTGTCTTTAGTAGAAGCTGTTACAGTGTTTCTGACAGCAGCGACATTCATATACACAAAGAGTGGACACTGGGGAATCAATGCAAGTTTTTTAAATTACAATATCAATTCCTTCATGGTATTTAATGTAGCTTTAAGTATCGCAATCAACAGTGCAGGCTGCAAATACAGACAGATGTTATGTCAGCACTCCCCTTGCTCTACATCAGTCCAAGACTCTTGATAATATGTGGTGAAAGTACTAGAATACACACACTTTGTAAAGTGGACAGCTGGATTCAGACTGAAGTGTGTGATAAACTGCCAGGCTGTAATTATACACACTTCCTGAGACACACTGCCAAATATATAATACCAGTTAAGCAGTGAAGTAAAAACACAGTGAGACAGGAGAGAAAAAAAACATTCTGAGAACATACTCCCTAAATGGTGTCTCCTTGGCCAATAGCAACTTCCAACAATCACCTTTCATTTCCTTTCCTTACATAGTCAATCTCTCTTACGCACACCCACGCACCCACACACACACCCACCCACCCACACACACACACACACACACACACACACAACTGTCAGAAAAACCTTGAAGTGTTTCATTCATGTAAAGTGGGAGCAAAGAAAATAAAGACACCACAAGATTGCATAATAATCCTGTGATTCCAAATGGTCAGAGATCAACCCTAGGCGGTGTGGAACATACACGCCGTGTGATGTCATTCTTATTTAATCACCGGGTCCTGCTTGCTATGACAACACTGTCAAAGCATCAAACGGTGTTGGACAGGGAGTGGAGTTTCAGTCCAGACAAAGCCACATGGAGAGTACAAAAGGTGCCAACACACCAGGCGCAGACAAATACAAGAAACTATGCATACCACCAATCACAAGACACTCATACTTTGTGGAAGATGAGGAATGTCAATCTTGGCATGCAAGTCAAGGTGAAACAATGTTCTTTTGTGGAGTATAGATTGACAAACCCCAGTAGTTACAGTTTTGTCAATTGGTTTCACGGTCTCTTTAAAATACAGTTTCACATCTTCTTAAATGACAGACAGCAGAAAGACAGTCTGGGCTGTGTGTTTCACACTCTAGTGCTTTCAACCTTTATATCTCTTTACAGTGTCTCAAAAATCTGACCTCTGTTTATAAAAGACAATAACATGACTTAAGTCCTACTAAAGCACCTCAAACTTAGGCTTAAAACTATTATTTGTTTGTAACATTGAATATGTGTGTCCAAACGTGTGTATGTGATAATAAACGTTTGATTTTGCAGTTTCAGATTCTTATTTTAATGTTGTTGAATCTAGATTGGTCTAGAAATACAGGGTGTTTAACACCTTTTTTCCATCAAACTGGGTAAGAAGAGCGCAGAAAAAAAAACAGAGGCAGAAACTTCTCCTGCAGATAACACTGTACTGTTACAACTTACAACAAGATAATACTGTTAAATAAACAGTCCGTTTGTGATGCAGATTGTTAAACTGTATCTCCATGCAGTGCTGAGTAAATGCTAATAAAATAATATTCTTTATAGAAAGCACACCCTGTCTGCGTATCATTAACGCTACAGAGCAAGGTTTATTACACATTTCAGTGCATACCACTTCCCTATTCCTGCCCACCGTTAACCAAACATTAATTATTTTTATTTCTCTTCTGTTTTAAAGCCACCCCCCTAAATTAAATTAACTGTCCTTCAGTAGTAACACACTGTGCTGCCCAACCTAAACAGCTGTACATTACACGACTGTGTCAGAAGCAACTGGTTTGTGTTCCCGTCAGTGTCTCTGCAGCCAGATTTCTGGATGACATGTTGTGCTACGGTTAAGAATGTGCCCCGACTGGTCAAGCTACATGCAAAACATACCCACTATGGGCTGAACACACATACAGACTAAAGCTTTCTCTTGCCCTCTCTCACACGCACAGACACAAACGCACACGTGCACACGCGCACACACACGCACACACACACACACACACAATGTATCACATGCCACATGTTTGGAGAAGCCATCATTTCAGTTTTAGTAGGAAGTCATTATAGTTACAGTTTGTGTATTAAGTACAATTTTTTACACTCAAGAAATTAATCTGATTTAAGAGAATTACCAGACTGAGCCAAGCTGGTTTTGTGCAATATCTTACAATAAATAAAGCCTCCATTTTTGAGTGCCTCTTTTATTCTTTTGAGACAAGCTGAACCAAATTAGACACAGTCTGCAAAATCCTAAAAGCTTTAAAATAAATGGAGCCAGCCTTGCTGACATTGCAGTGTTCCTGTACTTCTCCGTACCTTCACAGTGATTTACCAACTCATTTTGTCTAGAGGTCTAAAGGCCGCCAACAAAAGACCTGCTAAGAAGCTGCAATACTGAATAAAGAAAGACACACAGCCATATAAAACATGACGCACTGTTATACTTTGTCACTCTATGAACATGACTAATGCTTCAGCGATGTGTGTATATGAGGTGGCGCCAACAATGGCACAACATAGTGACTCCTATCGATTTCCAGTGTCATCAAAAATCTCCTAGCAACCACTACAGGTGCCATTATGTGGACCTCACTGTATGCAAATAATGGCAAATAAATAACCAGACAATTGTGACATATTGTCCTTGTCTCACTGTGTCTAAAAACAACAAGCACCATTATTGTACAGTGATGGTCTCTTCCTTGTTTGTCAAACTAAAGCTTCTTGAAAAGAATTAGACACTATAGGTAGACAATACAGAAACACACTCATGCCTATGTCATACTCGCAGGCACAGGCACCTTGCAATGTTAGTGACACTTTCTAACTGGATCTCTGCTCTGATATCAGCTTCAAGCATTACTTTTAGTTTGCATTTCACCTACAGGCCACCATAACTAAAGGGAGTAGGAGTTTTTTCCGGGTGTAGGAGACATGTGAAGAAGGAAACAAGTCACCCTGATGCTGCTGTACACTGGCAGCCACGGATGAAGGCCCTTACTGTGCCCTTTAAAAAAGGTCATCCTTTCTAACTTCTAACAGGCTTCAAAGGGTTGATTAGAACCAACCCTTCAAACAGGCTTCTAAATGGTGTGTGCAAATTCTCGTCTGTGTTTATTGTCTTTTTTCATCTGTTTAACTGCTTTCTCCATTCCCTCTCTCTTTCTCTCTCTCTGTTCGTTCTTCTCAGTGTGCTGATGTCAGCAGTCCCGTCCCCATGTTAAAGGCCCTCTTTTTCTCACGCTGTGGGCCTGGCTGCCCTGCTATAGCCTCAAGACCAGATTGTTCCTGGAAGAGAACAAACAGCCCTTCTCTGACTGTCTCTCTCTCTCACTGTCTCTCTCTTTCTTCCTCTAACCGTCTCTTACTCAGTAAAAAGCAGAACGGGTGGGTTGGTACAGGAATTCATCATATCAACCCTGCCCAGTCCACCCAACCGGAGGTTACTGAGGCCTGACCGCCAACCACTGGGCTAATTGTTGAGATCCGGAGGCTAGTACACACACACACACACACTCAAAGCAATGAGGTGTAGAGCTTGCTCCCTTTGTCATGTTGTATATAATTATTCTGCTGCTGGTTGGAAGCTCATATGTCCATTCTGGCTGTGAGTTATACTAATCCAGAAAAGTATGGTTGCTGTTAAATTCCAGCTGAATAACAAGGAGATTGAGAGCAAATATGTGTAAGATCTAAAGTAAGAGAACACATTAGTATCTGAACACAGCTTGGAAGTGAGACAGTAAAACAAAAGCTGACACTCAAGCCCCACACACACGCACGCGCACACACGCACGCACACACACAGGAAGCATGTGGTTTGAATGCAGCAGGAAGGGATGTTTGTACATCTGACTGAGTAGAACAAACTAACAGTTTCACAGTCCAGGTTTGACTGATGGGGAACACTCACCTTCAAGCTCAGGAATTCAAGCTATGGCCAACACAACCCCGACTAGCTCTCGGGCTGTGCTATAGCTATGTATGTGTGTGTAGAGGCAGAGATTCCAGGTCTTATATAGATACAAGTGGTTTGTCATGTTGCTGGATTAAAAGTTATAATTATTAGGATTTTCATGAAATCAAACCCCAGTCTTACCATTTATGGTTAGCATTTTTTCTGCAGTAGCCATTTAATGCTATAACATTTAGTAATTGTCGCTTTTATGTAGCAGTTATTGGTAGTGGCGGAGTCCACCATTACCACTCAGGACTCCGATTCCTTAGCTAAACACAAGAACAACAGTGCAAGCATTATAGTCCAGCTTAATTTTACATCATTGATAACTTCCTCACTGCTTCGTGTTTGCTCTTTTTAACACTGTTTCAGAGTGCAACGTTCTACAGCTGCTATTTCACCTTAAAAAGTGTTCAACTGGTGAAACATGGGGAAGCTTTTACTGTGAAGTAATCACAGGAAACTATCTGAAATTGTTCAACAAAAATAAAAATAATCAAGACAATTTTCAACATTGTTTGCAGATAAGACAGGCTATGGTAATCAACTTTACTGTACACAGCATGAAATCAGATTGCAGTTGCAATTATTAGAGTTTGTCTGGCTGAGCTGTAAACACATACACCACTTCTGTTGCTGTAGTATTAAACTGCACAAGCTATAAGCACAGTAACCATGGGTGTTGCCAGATCAGCCAGGACTGAAATCTTTAGTATTTAAACTTGTTCTTAACAACTACTATTGTTTGGATAACTGAAGACAGTAAGAACATTGGAAAACAAAATAACATTCAATTCACTAATTCTCATATACATTTCTGTATATTTAGATTTCTGTGCGTTTAGAATAACACTGCAAAAAGGTGGGGTAAAAAAAAAAAGAAAAAAATACTAACACAACTATCTTTAGTCTTAACGTTGCCTTGTAATTCCTCAGATATTCAAGGTTGTGCCCCAGCATGAGGTCACTATTATTTTTCTTGGCCAGATCGACTGGGAGATTAGAGAGGGAGTTGAAAAGTTTACACTTGACCCAGTGTGCGAGTGTGGAGAGGAAAACTAACTGAAGAGCAGAAAACACTAAACTGAAATAGATCCTCATTCTTGCAGTAACATCAGGGTGAGGATTGGGTCATGTCTGATGCATTATGTCACCCCAAGGGGGCTTCTGTCATCCCCACTAAGGCAATCCACTTTTCTTATCTTTATTTTTCAACAGAGCTTTTTATATGTAGGAGAAATATACTCTAGATGAGATATTGTTGCAATAAAATAACAAGGCAGTCACAGATTGAAATGGAACATCCCAAGAGCCTCCAATGTACATGGTTAAAAGGTCTGTTTTTCCACTTCCCTGCTGATCGTTTGGACTTGTGTATTGTGGCTCTGTTTGGAAAGGTTGCAAAGAAAACTTGGTGGACGGATAGAGAAACTCCTCAACACAGCAAGAACACTACATCTAGTGAGGACGGTAACAGTGTAGACAGCAGATAAGGTCCCTTAGGTACATTATGCACCAGTCTAATAGCAGCTCTGACCGCAGTGTTCTCATGCAGCAGCATACTGTCCGTTCGTTGAAGTAAACTGTGCGTCGTTATATTCATTGGTGGATAAAACAAGTATAATTTCGTTTCAACTCAGTCTATCAGTTTGGTTTGCATGTTTAAGTGCTAAAATATGGAAGACATGAGACAGAAAGAGAGAAGGGTTGGAAACTTTGTGGTTTACACTTAAAGCTGGCTATCTCAACCAGATGCTTGTGGTACCTACCCACAGTTTGTTGTCATGATAAAAGGCATCAAGCAGCTTGACAATGTAGCGGTGGTCACATTTAGCCAGGATGTCAATCTCAACCATGTAGTCCTCCAGCTCGTCCTCACATTTTGTCTCGATCTGTTTGGCTGCAGCCAGAGCTCCTGTCTCTTTGTTTTTGGCCTGAAAGACGGAGAAATGGAACAAGATTAATTTCAACATGCATAAGTAACGGCGGGCCTGTTAAATAGATTTTTGCATTTCATTTCCTTTCTTTAAGGCTAAACCTCTCTCAGCAAAAGTAAATAGCAGGCAGTTTTTTCAGTGTAACTAATCCAATGAACTCAAGAGTTTCACTTCTCCAAAGGTCATTTTTTAGATCACTCAGCCTTTAACAGAAAACAATAATAGTAGGGAAGATACAGGGTGTGGTAGTGTGATATAAAAAGGGTGTGAAGAAAATGTATCATGCCTTTACTAACAATTTACTAACATTTTTTGTTGTATATGTCAGACTAAAAGGTGGAAAATAGCTAAATCAAACTGACAATGTCAAGCTACATACAGATATCCAATGCTAAGCGGCATAATTCCAAGTTTGCAGTTCACTGTGCTTCTTGCATGTGCCTATCACTCTGGCAGCTGGACTCTTCTACCCGAGTTGTAGTCAATGGGAATGCTAAAAGTCAAGAAATGCAGGACAGCAATTCAAATATTGACTTACTAACATTGTAGGGACCAAACAGGAAAGCAAATTCTACACCCTCCCTGAGCTACTGGGGAAAAGGAAGAACCACAAAAACCATCAGTAAGTGTAAGTGTGGCTAAACTAAGACACAAAGACACAGAATCCCTAGTAATTCTGAGTAATAAACGTAAAGTAGATTGTTCTGTGCCTTTCTGGAAAACATCAAAACACCCAAACCTTAAGGGTGACTGAGAGCAAAGCACAAGGAACAAAATGCATTATGTTCGTCCTTTTGAAAGGGACAGAATGTTGTGAATGCTGACTGATGGGATGTTGTGGGTAAACACGACATCAATGTGCGCCTGCAGAAAGAACCACACGTTCAGTGCCGTAATTGGAAGAGCACAAACGGAGACAAGGCAAGACTTAAAATAAGAGTCCAAAACAAGGTGGTGATCCATGCTTGCACCACTTTGCAAACCTCCAACACCGTCAGAGCATATGAAATGACTTCAGGTAATTCCACAAAAAAGAAAAAAACTATGCCGGTTGCACCTCTCAGGAGGAGATATCATTGTGCGCATGTGTATTTATGTCCACCCAGTGACCTGTAGGAACACGGCAGACTAAACAGCCCGGTGGGGTGTGATGCCTGTGTGCTTTACAGGGGCTGTGGGAAAACATCTGAATAAACAGAACAAGCTCACAGCAAAACACACTCTTTATAACTCATCTCAGATCGCCATGACTGTGTGTGTGCGCGTTTGTGTTTGTCAAACAGTGCTCCAGAGAAGCCAAACTGACTGACCCCCCCAGAGTGAGTCAACAGGACGTCTCCTCCTGCCATCAAACCATCAGTCTGTTAGTTAACAAGCCTCGACAGTTAACACAGAGACATCAGACACTTTCACTTCTCTGCTAACATATCAGCTCTCCGCTATTCGCTCCCTTCCTACACCGGCACTGTCTGCATCAACAAACTCACTGTCTGGGGTGGGGAGACCTACTGGTGTATGCATCTATGTTTGCTGGTGTTTTCTGCCATCTCTGTCAAGAAAATGTTCTTTGCATCATTCACCAAGCGGTTTAATATATTTAATTTCAGACATACACGCAATGTAGACTACAGTTCTGTGTATCACGGCGCAACACACACACACACACACACACACACACAAATCTTTGATTATCTTGTCTTCAACATCCTTTGCAGGAAAGGAGACAGTGTGACACATAAAGTTACACAAACCGACACAGACACAACATCCGAGAGATAATAATCTCAAGTCTTACTCTAGCAAACATTAGACATTATCACAACTTTATCAAAACAACAACTCCTCCCATTATTGTAAAAAAACAGTACTCCACAGACTTTAAACATTGCACTTCTGTAACACTGTCAAGCTCATGATGGACAGTAAAAAAAGTGGTATATGGTGGCATATAAGTATAAACACACAACAAAGCGGTGAAAGTCTGAAGCTCATAACTGTGTTTCTTGTCTTGCATAGTCACACACACACACAAATGTATACACCTTTACACTTCAGTGGGAACAAGGCTGAGGAATGCGCCTGTGGCCTTCAGATGGTTGGGGGGGACAAAGAAGGTACACTGAGAGAAGTGAGCCTCATGCATTTATGTGGTGCCTTTTTGTGTGGTACGGGGAATGCATTACGTCAATGAGGCTGTTCAAGTATAGCATGCAAACGTGTGTTTGTTTATGTGTACACCTTACCAACTGTATACACTGCACAGAGAGGAAATCACACTGAAACGCCTCATTGTGTCTCACGAGGCACCACCTGACTTCCTACAAGATGGCGTGACATCAACACACAAGTGTGGGTAGATGCTTGAAATGAGGAAATAATTGCAGGAGGAAGCATCCTTCTTAACACTCTTTAATCTCAACCTTCAAAAAGGCCAGTAGCAGCCTCCCCCATCAAACACAAATTCCTGTCTAATTGACTGATGTCTTTACTTACAATCTGTAGTGTTGGATTGGTGACATTTAAGGTTAATTTGTCTTCAACACTTTGTGCCATACAAACCGTAGTTTGCAGAAGAACCGACTCCCACAGTCACACCGTCAAAATGTCAAAAACTAGTCATGCGCACCTGTGAGACAAGCAAGTTCTCGAGTTCGAACAGAGAAAAAAAATGTACATAAAAAAAAAAGAAAAGCCTCTGAGCGACCCCAAGTCACTGTCGCCTACTTGCAGCCCACAGAAGCATAATTCCAGCGTTCGAGGGGATGACATGTTGTTACCAGTCGGCCCAGGAGGCATCTACATCATTCTCAATTTGTTTATATGTGACAATATAAACAAACACCAGCTGTCATACAAAAATCACAGTAATTATGACATAATAACAGTTCATGACCACAGGACTGAAGAAGTAGGAACACAGTTAACTACATTCCCTAGCTGCTGTAGCCATCCCAAGAGAAAGTACACTTCACTGCTTCTAACCCACTGACTCTTCACTCTTTCTAACTCTCCTCCAGAGCAGAACAACAGTATTGGGCTTTGTTTGGGTCCGGTCTCCATGGAGATCAGAAAGACTTGTTTCTGCTCTTTCTCGCAGCTCGCCTCACTAGATCTGTGCTGGGTCGTTTTCCTGTTCATTAGTGACTTGGCTTTCATGTAGGTTAAGTGGAGAAGCATTACCTGAAGCTGCGGCTCTCAACCTGAGGTCCTTTGGAGGGGGGGGGAGGAATTGGAGAATATTGTAATTTCACTATTATTTAACTGAGTAAATACAGGTTCATGGCCTGATGTGTATCAATTTGGGGGTCCTTGACAACAAAAAGGTTGAGAACCACTTAGAGGATCCAACCTGGAATCAAAACAGACATTGTGTTCTTCTACGGTCTGAACAAACTGCTTCGAAAGACCAGAATATTTAAACAAAAAAAAAAGAAGGTGCCATAGAACATTTTCTGCATCTGCACAAGTCCATTTCTAATTTGGTTTTAGTAAATGACAACATCATATGAGAGCTATGACACATAGTAACAGACCTAGAGACTTACAGCAAAATGCTAGAGAATCTAAAAGCGGAAAAAAAGAAAAGTACATATCAGCTCACTTTCACCTAAATGCAAACAGTTTCTTTTATCTTATAGTGTGAAAGGACATCTTCTAAAAACACAAAGTGATTAAACCAAAATAACAATGAAAATCAATCAATTTGTATTATTCCTTTCACTGCAATTTAGGTGGAAATGTAGGACAGACCTGAAACTTTTCTATCAACCATCCAACAGTTTATCCATATTTATCTATCTCCTTGAGTATGACCAAATGTTTCTCTTTGTTTTTCCTCTTTTTAATCCCCTTACTGTAGCATATGTACTGTACACCCATCTACCCTCCTGCCCCATTCGTCCATTGTCTGCCACACTGTTCATCTTTTGTCTCCCTCGCCAAATTTGTCTGTCATCCATGCCTGTATATCTCTCCCCATCTGCCATGTATATTTATCCATCTGTTTTCAGTAACAGGCCGTCTGAAGGCCACAATCCATGACAGAGAAGGACTCCAGCTGCCGCTCGAGAAAAGCTTTAGTAAAGGCAAAGTGTAAAAGCAGATGTTCCTGACCCATGTGTTGGTATACAAACATACTGCACTGTATGTACTGGTAGATTAAGTAAACACACATTCCTAGCCTTGTGTCATTTAGTATTCAGACACACACACGCAGTCTTTTCAAAATGAATCAAGCTGGGAATAATAATGTTTAATACTGTGTCTGTTGACTTGTGTGTTAGCTTAAAAGCACAGCGCAGAGGAAAACCAACTTAACTGCCCTGTTAAGCCTAAAATTAACCAGAAATATTAGAAAAATATTACTTTTACCATCAGCCTCTCAACATATTTCATTTACTTTTATAACACAATTAAGGAGCCTTTGTCCATTTAGACTGCAGGCTAAAAGAATGAGGGAGAAATTAATCACGGGGTCGATGGACCAGACGACCTCCTGTAACCGACAACACAGAGAACTCTTCCTAGGGTCAGTCACCTCCAGGCTGAATGAACATACCACATGCTGACGTGTATTTTGGCTTATATACTACGTTACAGTCTCTACAAGCGCACACACGCACGCACACACGCACGCACGCACGCACGCACGCACGCACCCACGCACCCATTTAGGGGAATGTATGTATGTTAGACCTTTGCCCCATCATAAACCTGTAAAGCGCAACTCCTCTGAAGGCTCTCCCCATGCGTCTGCGGACAGGAATGTGGTTCTCTGCTCCTACACAATGACAGCAACTATTAAAAGATGCCTGTAGAAGTGATGATCTCTCACTCAGGTGAACAAGGTGCACAAGCATTTGTTTTAAACAGATGCATGTAGGCTACTGATTTGTTTTATGGAATTTTTATTTTTTTCCCATTACAGTTGTGTCATTGAAACCCCTTAGCTTCTCTTATTTACAGATAATTCTCCTAATAGTGATGCCAGACCACAC